AGATAGATAGATAGATAGATAGATAGATAGATAGATAGATAGATAGATAGATAGATAGATAGATAGATAGATAGAATGAAACATTTAAGTTAATAAATAGTTAAGAAAACAGTTCAAATCATTATAACAAAACACATATGACAGTCATATTATTAAACTATACAAATATAACCATGAAAAAATATCATTTAGTAACAATAGTTTTAGTTTTGTTTGTGTCAATTGTTTAAGGTGCAGATAGGCAAACATACAGCTGCAATATATACAGTGAGAAGAAATTAAGAAAATATTTGAAAGATTTCACGTGAACAATAAAAAGGCCACGATGAGTTTTGTTTAATGCAGAAATGAGGGAAAATACCAAGGATATAGAAGAAGACTTGAGATATAATGGTGATGGTAAAATAAGTTATAAGACAGAGTCTTTCTTTCGAAAAAAGCTCATTTTAAAAAACTTCTCCTCTCAGAAGAAGCTTGTCTGAGTCTGCTGGCAACTAGATCCCCGACAGGAGACCCCCCAGCACAGACCACTGAAGGAAAACACAGAGTCCAAGTGACTCCACAAGGTGGGTGAGGCTGAAAGCTTCTGTCTGCCCAGCACAAAAACCCCACAGAGGTCAGGGGTCTCGGTTATAAAAGATTGTGTAGGATCTGTAATAAAAGCTTATGTGTGCCCGAAATCCGCGTTTCCCCTCATGGTCCGCCCGGTTCAAGCTTAAAAGTAAATGCAAAGCGCCTCGTGAATGCCGACGTCTATTTAAATGGGCCGGCTGATCAATGCCATTTCATGGTTACCAATAGCAACCACGCAGAAAAGAGCAAAGAAAGGCTATTTCGCCAAGGCCGGAAAGGGTGTACTGGTGAGTGAGGCAGAGAGTCTAAATAATATCTTGTTTTGGTGCCACCGAAGTGGCGTGACAAAGGTAAAGAAGTGAGTTGGGGCTTTGAAAACCGGACATGGCTGCAAACTCCTTTGTAATGTTGACCTGTTCTTCCACAGTTGGGAAATCTGATGTATCCACTGGTCATATCAGAAAAGTCACAATCAAGTTATCATTTCACAGATTTATATTGTTCCTAAAAGTGGCTTGAGGCAGAGGGACCAGCATTTAATAGAACAGCCATTTTTAACGATCATGGTAAAGTCGATGATTAAAGTTCAACTAAAGGGGTCTGAGAGGAAGTGTAATGTTCCTTTTGTGTTTGAAGGACCGCCCATTTTTTCCACAGTATCGCGGTGTTTTAAGGTTTTGACTGGGTTAGCTGTTCACCCCATATGTTTTTTGTTCTCTTTGCATTAACAGCGGCCAAAAACGACACCAGCCCAACTCCGAGCACCAGGCTCCCACCAAACCTCTCTACAGGCATCCTATCTGCTCCAGAATACAGCCAGGGTAACGTTGACCTACGTTATTATGCCCCATAAAATATGTAAAATAAGTATTCCTTCACTTTTCTTCAGCTTGAAAATCAACACTGGATACGTTTTTTTTCTTTTTTTGTTTTACTATGGTAGCAGTTTGGCAGTCTCAGAATAAGGAAATTCCAAAATTTGAACTATTACCTTTTTCCCAGAACCATTTTAGATCTCAGAAAGATTATTCATTCTCAATTTTGCTATTTTGTCGAAAACATCTTGAATTTCGTGGCAGCAAAAGTTACGTCTGGGCATCAGCTACTATTTTTTTATTGGTCTCCGATGGTGTGGAGAGCAGCCCTTTTTTAAGTTGCTCTCATTTAGCAGAGGCTTTCGTCCGAGGTACATTAAAACTGGAAAACACGCACCGGGGTCCCCACCTTGCTGTCATCTCTTTGAAGATAAGCTAATAAATTCCCTAAAATGATAAAAATGTGTTTGTTTCAAAGTGTTTTTTTCCATGTTCTATTGTGAAAAGGGTTATCTCCAAAAGGATTTCAAAACTATTGCATTCTGAATTCTTTTCCATGAACGATAAGCTTTATTAACAAATTTTTTTGTGTTTGAACAACTTGATTTTGCGATTTTATTTTCCTGTTTTACCACACTGCTTTCTGTGGACACACAGAGAGAATTGGGAACGAGACGGGAAATTTAAGTTGAATGTCTTTTTTTTTCTTTCATTAGGAGCTAAAGTGACAACAGTGTGTGTCAGTTTGGCAGCGGTGATCATTGTCTGTTCTTTGATTGGCCTCAGCTTCTATTTATGTAAAAGGTAATACAAATTCATTTACCGTATTTTAACGACCATAAGGCGCACCGTACTAAAAGGCGCAGTCATAGTTATGTGTGCCATTACTGTATTTAACACACACATAAGGCGCACCGGATCATAGGGCGCGGGATTTATATACCGGTACATATCCTCTACTACGTTTAAATACCTCTACTGCGTATTTAAAAATAGAGCGGGAGCAAAACTGAGTATGTTTGTGCTTTATTCTTGTATTTATTACAAAGTATTAATCAAACCCATTGAAGTCATAATCCTCTGTTTCTGAATCAAACAGCCCCCAAATTGTCAAAAGTCCTGTAGACTGAGCGAGCAGAGTTATCCTTTGAGAACAAACCAGGCGCTCGCTTGTGCAACTTTAATTTGTACGCGAATATTGTATCTGCGCGCGGGAAGGTTAATTTTTGCGCGTGTGAAATAATATAATGTGCTCGTGAGAATGTTTTACAAGCACTCTCACAACATTTGACATAAAAATGACGCCATAACACTCCACGCCCACACTTCCCCCTTTAACGTTCTCATGGTGGTCTCAACAAAGTCCGCAGTAAGAACACACATTTTGAGGGGAAAAAAAGACGTTTATATGCGCCTTATAGTCGTGAAAATTTGTTTACCATCCGTCAGGATTCACAGTAGTTTTATCGTGGGAAGTTGAATCGGCCTGATTCCTGACTTCTGTTTTAATTTCCCAGGAGGGCCGGCAGGAACCGTCCACAGCAGAGGGAAGGGGAAATGGAACCCATGAACCGGGACAGTCAAACTTGATGTGGACTTGACATCGAGAACGGAGAGGAGCAGCAGTGTAATTTGTGAAACTCAGATCCTCGCAGTGACGAATTAGCCGACTGAATTCTTTTAAAAAAAGATAAGGTTAAAAAAAAAAATCACTGTTATGGTAGCCATGTTACCAAAACAATATTAATAAGTGCAACAACAAAAGTTGTTGATATGCACAAAAAAAAAAGCTGTGGTACTCATTAATATTTTGTGTTGATTATCCTAAAGAGTCTTGTTTTTCTTTTGAGCCAGATGTGCTTATACATCCCTGCACCTATGTGATTTAATCCTGGGCTATAAAAACAAAGAAGAAAATAAATAGGAATAATTGTTTCATTTTGGCCTTTTCAAGAAAATGGTCATTTATGTGTGATGGAAAAAAAAATCTATTTTTTGTAATCCCCTTTGTACTCAAAAGTTTAGGTACCAGATAGGAATTATAGGGGCCTATTGGTATTTGTTCTTTAATTGTTGGCTAGTAGGTTAGAGGGGTGGTTAACGCTGTATTTTCACAGCAAGAGGATTTATGGTTCAAATCCCCAGGGATCAAATAGCTACATTCCTTCTTTGTATTCCAGATCCATTCCACCGTCCAAAAACATGTAGTTGATTGTTGATTCCACGTCACCAATTAACTTAGCGTCCATGTTTTGTTTTGTTGTGATTGTGATTTTTTTTCTTTCCGGTCTTTCTTTGTAGAAAGTGACTGAATAAAAAATAGCTAAATTAACTTGACAAAATGGAATTGAAGATTTCTAAGGAGCTACTTGTATGAGTTATTTGTTATTGTTGTGTGCTTTAAACTGTATTTAGCAGTAGTAGACTGGGTTTCAAAATCTCAAAATCACCTGTCGAGCTTGGCATTGTTTCATCTATAAATTGTGTGCCTTTTTTTTTTTCCATATCTGGGCTGATAGCGTGGGTAAAATTTCCCAATTACCATTCCGCAAGAATGGATTGTTTAATCCAGAACCAAAAATATGTGTTTTGTTTGTATGATCTTGGATCGGAATGTACTGGAAGTAATTGCTCCTTGTGAGCTCAATAAAGTATTAAATCAATCATCAATCATGTTTTGGTGCTCAATTTCAAAGAGTTTTAAAAAATGGAATTAAAAGGAATGATGTTCTAATCAATTGGTAAGCATAACTCTGTGTGCCTTAGTGCTTTAATGCCATCAAATAAGTCTTTTCTTTCTTCTAACAGGTTATTCTTGGGTATTTCCCACACCACATTTAGTAGAGACTGTAAGTTATATATGGTATCTGTTGACGCCTTGCATACTTTTTGCCAGCCACTGACACAAAGCCAGGACAGAATAATAAACATTTAATTTCCCCCTACTAGAAGACCAAACATAATAACTAAACATGCCGGTCTGGTTTTGAGCGTGTCCGAATTCCTGAGAACATGGAGGAAATAATTACTCACAACAGTTTGGCTTGGAAAGTCTTCCGCCCAGTGCTGTGCAGACCATCACAGGCTGCCTGTTGGTTCCCCAATATGGAGAGCGGGTGCTTCAAAGCTAGTGTACATGTGCCATTCTTTCACGAAAAAAAGAAAATGCAGAGAAAGTGGCCTGCGGTTTTATCAAAATATAAGTACAATCGCACAGAGACCTCAAGTTTTTCTGTAAAATACAGGTTTGACAAGAACGCACAGGCAGTTAACAAAGGCAAAAGACTGTTTGAAAATAAACAGACCTGCATAGACAAAATGGCTGACAGTTCACAGTCTGCTGGGAACTGTCAGCCATTGATGCATGAGATGCTGTGAACATTAAGTCCTGACTTTTTATTTTTGACATCTTGCTTGTTGGTCTGGGCTTGTCCTTAAGGACTCTGTAGCGTTAAAAGAACAGCTCGGGGAAAAAGGCGTGGTGCATTGGCGGCTGGAGGATCTCGGCCATGGAGAGCACGTCGTCCGTCATGAGAAAGGCGACGGGTCCCACTCGTGTCCAGACACAGCGCTCGCACAGCGGTCCACTTGAAGGTTGAAAATAAGTCTGGGCGGAGGCAAAAAGAAGGATTCAACCGCTGCTGAACATGCGTTTCATACAATTAAAACCCATCAGCAATGGGCTGACTGTATTGTAAAAAAATAAATAAATAAATAAAACAAATAGATATCAAAAGGGGTTTTTCTTACACACTGCATATCTTCTCTGGACATGACGAATGCTGAGCCCGGCGTGATGCAGTTGGGACAGTTGAATATGGAACATGGGAGAGGGTCCCCCCCGGCTGCCAAAGAACTGGACATTTTGGACTTCAGGAAGTATTCCTGGAGATAGTGTAGAAAAATATACAAATCCCTCATGAAAACTAACATTTCAAGTGGACACTTTAAACGTTAGATTGCTTCTTCCATTGAGGGCTTTTAGCAAATGGTATGATGAGTAATAAAATCAGTTTTGAAAACTGATTATATACACAGCACAAGTTTTTTTGTACACATTCTGTTAGTATGTCTGTAAAATCTCCATGCATCATTTAGAAAATTAACAACCTATTAGGTCCCTGGGAAAGTCCATTTCCTCACGTTTGGGGGGAGGTTGGGTATACGTGAGAGGTAAAAAATGTTAGATGAATAAGAAGACAAAAATTAAGTGTGAACAAAATAATCTGTTGGGTTTGTTGTGTGCATGTTAAGATTTTTTTTCTCTCCTCGTGGCGACTTTCAATGCTGTCCCGCGGGGTTGCCAAACCCAAATGTCTGTAAAGCTGAGTACTGTGTACGTCCTGCTACGGTAGACGTCCGAGATTGGTGTCAACATGCTTCTGGAAGCATTCCCTGGGAGCTAAAACAAACCTGTAGTATGGCGAATTTAAATTGAATATCAGCCACCCATGAAAAAATTAAAAAGTTACAAAAAAAAAATGTATATCCCTCTTTTTACCATCATATTTGGTTACTGATTCCTTTCGGGAACGCCCAAGACCAAAGCACCAGAAAAAATCTGAGCGTCGGCCACTACAAAAGCTGGCTAAACAGGTTTATAGCAACCAGGGTAAAAGTTAAAATAACTTTCAGCAAATTTAAAAAAAGAAAAGAAACCCATGTCCCACAGTTGTATTGCTGCCATAAGTTTAACACTAACAATATTTGTGATTACTGTACAGAAATATGAGAACAAGCAGGTTGAGGGGAATAAATATTCTCCCTTTCAAGCTTTTTCTTTTCTTGTTACGAACCTAAAAAAACGAGGCAATACCTTCAGAAAAGGAGCTTTAAAAAAAAGAGCTTTAACAGTATATGTGGAGGTGTTTGCTATTAGACTGGACCCTCAAGGCTTGACAGTGAAATCAGACGTACCAAACTATCATGATATAGATACCTTCCGGTTGCATCGGTTTCACACGTCTAAATTTAAAGTTTAGTCATGCTCTACTAAAGAACTCCTGCTCACAGACTCACATGCACGCTATGGTGGACCTTGGCTAAAAATAAACGCCACTCTGGGAGGGAAGAAGAGCACGAACTCAGTAGAGTAAAAAATAAGCTGGCAGGGCTTTTTTTTTTTGTTTTGTTTTAAACCAGCCGCGGTATTTAACTGTTTTTACGGTAAGGCAAATCTTTCTCGGTGCAGGTAACATTCTAGGATGACAGCCGATCTTTGAGAGACTGCTGACTCAGCACTTTACTGCGGTCCAGACAGAACTCCAGACGTCTGACACAAACAGTGCGCAGATCCTCTGTGCTGCAGCAGAATTTAGTCCATTAGTCGCCCCGTCTGTGGGTAGTTAGCGTCATTCTTCAACAGCTATCTCATTCTTGGCCCCAGTGTGGGTTTACACATAAAGCAGACCGATTTTGTATCATCCAGTCCTCCAAAGAGCACCACACACTTAGCCGACTAAACAAAGAAAAAAAAAAAGCCAACTATCCCTGCTTTACTCTTACCCAATTCTCCTATGATTCTGTAAGACAGTTTTAATTGAACCAAAAGCGTTTGGTTTTTTCTCTGGCTGACGTTTTTTTTTTCCCGCTCAAACAAAAAAGCTTTGCTTTGTGAAATGTGAGACTCCTGTGGCCATAAATCCTCCATATCCAGCAGTTTAAACCCCAGCTGGCATTTCCCCATCGCCTGACTGTGTGGAGGATTCAGCAAAAGGTCATCATTCGTCTAAATTGTGTGACAGGAACAGAAAGAAGAAATGACCATGCGGCTTGGTTTCCAGCTAAATTTGTTTAGGTTTTCTTTCTCAGACTCTAAAAATAAGCTGTGCTTTTATTGCTCTTGATTATAAAGCCTTTAAAAAAAAAAAAAAAACATTACACAATACTGTGATAGTGATTCTGATTTTGCAAAACAGAAAATTAACATTTTAAAGATATATTTAAAAGTGTTGGTGAATAAGGTTTCAGTTTGACAGCCTAAATGATTAGAAATATAAACTTCCCTATGAAAAACACATTTTATTTAGCTGTCCTTAATCAGGAAAGGTTCTTACACTGTCTGATCTGAGGAAACATCCACCTTCCACCTGAAAAAATGGTCTCATTTAGCCCTCTTTCAATCGGTGTGATGTAAGAGTGAGTCTTTTTGTCTGTCGTATCAGAGGCTTGTTTAATTTTCTACAAAATAAAACATCCTCAGTCTTGCAATTTGATCATTTTTGCAGTTTTGGCTGCAATTGAAAACAAAAACCTGGATGTAAGTGGTGCCTACATACTCCACATGCAAATATCAGGCCATCTGCAACACAGGGGAATACATTAAAGTGCCATTTCCTCTTTATGCTGTTATCATTTCAAGACCAGGTTGGGACCAGATGATTTATGAAAATCCTAACTTTTTTTCTCACACAAATGCATGTATGGGAAAGTATGAAACTGTGAGGCACCTGAGAACCATGAAATCTGATTAGTATCAGTTTAAGTTTCTATTTTATAGTATCTGCCTGCCTTTAACAGCTTTTTTCATACAGAACGAGCTCAGGAAGTGTATGTTCTTTGTGGCAAGCAGCCACATCGTTGTTCTAACTACTTCTTCAAAGGGGCAGAGGTTACTTCCATGCACACTTTGAGAATCAAAACCAAAACTAAACAAAAGATTGCGTCTTTGATTAGAGCCGAGTATCAGACGATTTCCTCTAGCACTGCTCGTCCACTGTAATGCACCAGTTTCTGCACGTCTGACGTTTTCTCTAAAATAAATACCACATTGCCTTTTTGAATTTAAATGAAAAACCTTACAGAACGACCTGTGCTTGAACAAACAAACACCTGAAAATGTAGACGGTCCAATCAGAATATGGAGCTGAGATGCAACACCTGACCAGATACCAGATACTATCCTGACAATAGCTGAAAACTACATAAAATGACATACAATCATTATCTCAGCAGGATGTTGATATCCTAACCTGACGTGCTATGGCAAAGGGACTGACAATTGTCCAAAAAATGACCATTGACCCCTTGCAACGAGGAGGGTAAGGCACAAAAGGTCATTTCCTAAAGAGGTTGGTGTTTCACAGAGCTCTGTGTCCAAAGACACTCATATAGAGGTGGAGGGAAGGAAAGGTTGGGGGAGAAAAAGGTGTACAAGCTATGGGGATAACAGCACCCTGGAGAGGATTGTGAAACAAAAAAAGCTATTAAAAGATGTGGGGAATATTTACAAAGAGTCGACTGCAGCTGGAGCCAGAGCTTTTAAGAACTACCAGGCACAGAAACACAGGAAATGAGTTTCAGCTGTTGCATTCCTTGTGTCAAGCCCTCAAGAACAAGAAACAGCGTCAGAAGCGGCTCGCCTGGGGTAAAGACGAAGGACTGGACTGCTGCTGAGCGTTCCAATTTTATGTTCTCTGATGAGAGTAAATTTCGAGGTCCCAGAGTCTGGGGGAAGAGGAAAGGCTCGGGTTTCCACTTTGCTGGAGGTCCAGGGTATGCCAAAGCTACCAGAACTTGGTTTTAGAACCACGGTATCCCTGTTCTTAAGTGGCCATCTAGCTCGCCTGACTTGAATCTACAGAAAATCTATGGGGTATTGTGAACAGTAAGATGTGATTCGCCAAATCTGAAGAGCTGAAGGCCACTATCAGAGCAGCATTAATCCAGGAAATAGGAACCCAAATAAGTAATGAGTGCTGTACATGCTCAAGCTTTTGATATTCATGCTTTTCAGTTGGACAACATTTAAAAAAATCCTTTGTGTGGTAATAGATACCAAGTTTGGGGTTTTCATTAGTTGCAAGTTGTAATCAACATTTAAAAGTAATATTTTAAATATATCAGTCTGTGTAATGAGTAAATATAGATAATATATAAGTTTCCATTTCTGAATGTTATTACTGAAATAAAATAAACTTTTTCATGATACTTGAATTTTATGACCAGCACCTGTATTATATACAATAAGTTGTAATTGTAAAGCAATGTGTGGTGGAAATGTCTTATATTTTCATTCCCCCCAGAAAAACTGTACATTTAATATAGGTGTGTGTGCTTTTTAGCTAATACAATATTTTGCATGTCAGTTTTAAAACTTGTAAGGTTTGGTTTTCCATTTTCAGCACTCAATAAATCCTTTCATAAATTATGCTACAGACCTAAAAACAAACGAGAAACAGCCGTGCAAAGTGCAACAGTTATCTGGTCGCAGATTGTGTAAAAGACGCATCCTACCCCAGCCAGTGTGAGGATGCGGAGGATGTTCTTAGTGAGGACCACTGAGGTCTTGGCCCGAGTCACCGCCACATACAGCAGATTCCACTCATCTGCAGGAATTTTACCTTCACAGGGGAAAGGCAGGAAAACCAAGAGAGTTTTAAAACGAGGCATTGTTCTCATAAACAGAAGTCTCTTTGGTAAACGCATGGCAAAACCTACTAAATGAGAAGTCTGGATTGTGATCCAGGTTGTGATCTGAAGAGGGGATGAACACAAAGTCGTCATTGACAATTACTGTGTCAAATTCCAGTCCTTTGGCCTTGTGAACAGTTCCAACTATGAAATCTGAAAGAGAAAAAAAAAAGTAAAAGAGAAAGTTGCTTTAAAACGCACTTCAAAAACAGTTTGTGTGTGTATATATATATATACACATACACACACACATATATATATATATATATATATACACACACACACAGTGGTGTGAAATAGTGTTTGCATGTTTGTCACACTTAAGTGTTTCGGAACATCAAACCAACAATAGTCAAGGACAACACAAGTCAACACAAAATGCAATTTGTAAATGAAGGCGTTTATTATTAAAGGTGTAAAAATTCCAAACCATCATGGCCCTGTGTGAAAAAGTGATTGCCCCCTAAACCTAATAACTGGTTGGGCCACCCTTAGCAACAACTGCAACCAAGCGTTTGCGATAACGTGCAATGAGGCTTTTACAGCATCATGGAGGAATTTTGACCCACTCATCTTTGCAGAATTGTCCTAATTCAGTTACATTAGAGGATTTTCGAGCATTAACTGCCTTTTTAAGGTCATACCACAACGTCTCAATAGGATTCAGGTCAGGACTTTGGCTAGGCCACTCCAAAGTCTTCATTTAGTTTTTCTTCAGCCATTCAGTGGTGGACTTGCTGGTGTGTTGAGGATCATTGTCCTGCTGCAGAACCCCAGTTCGTTTCAGCTTGAGTACACGAACAGATGGTCAGACATTCTCCTTCAGGATCTCTTGGTAGACAGCAAAATTCATAGTTCCTTTATCAAGGCTTCCAGGTCCTGAAGCAGCAAAGATGCCCCAGACCATCACACTACCACCACCATATTTTACCGTTGGTATAATGTTCTTTTTCTGAAATGCAGTGTTCCTTCTACACCAGATATACTGGGACACAATCCTCCCAAAGAGTTCCACTTTTGTCTCATCAGTCCACAGAATGTTGTCCCAAAAGTCTTGGGGGTCATCAAGATGTGTTTTGGAGAAATTGAGATGAGCTTTGATGTTCTTTTTGCTCAGCAGTGGCTTTCTCTTTTGGAACTCTGCCATGCAGGCCATTTTTGCCCAGTCTTTTCCTGATGGTGAAAGCATGAACGCTGACCTTAACTGAGGCAAGAGAGGCCTGCAGTTCTTTGGACGTTGTTGTGGGGTCTTTTGTGACCTCTTGGATGAGTCGTCGCTGCGCTCTTGGGGTAATTTTGGGCGGCCGGCCACTCCTGGGAAGGTTCACCACTGTTCTATGTCTTCATCATTTGTGGATAATGGCTCTCACTGTGGTTCGCTGGATTCCCAAAGCTTTGGAAATGGCTTTATAACCCTTTCCAGACTGACAGATCTCAACTACTTTCTTTCTCAATTGTTCCTGAATTTCTTTGGATCTCGGCATGATGTGTAGCTTTTAAGGATCTTCTGGTGGACCTTACTGTGTCAAGCAGCTCCTTTTTAAGTGATGTCTTGATTGTGAACAGGTGTGGCAATAATCAGGCCCGGGTGTGGCTAGAGAAATTGAACTCAGGTGTGGACAACCACAGTTATAGTATGTTTTAACAAGGGCCATGATGGTTTGGATTTTTTTTTCACCTTTAATATTAAACACCTTCATTTACAAATTGCATTTTGTGTTTACTTGTGTTATCCTTGACTATTGTTTAAATTGGTTTGATGTTCCGAAACACTTAAGTGTGACAAACATGCAAAGGAACAGGAAATGAGGAAGGGGGCAAACACCACTGTATGTATATATATATATATATATATATATATATATAGTAAATTATGTTATTGTCGGAGTGAAAAAAAAAGATTTTTTTTTCCTTCCTCAAAATAAGAAAAAGCTTTCACACATACGCCCACATACCTGCATTCTGTAGGTCACATTCTGAGCAACTTTTCAGACGTTTAATCAGTTCTGGGAGGCGCTTTTGGTATTTCTCCACAATGCACATTTTTCCATCCAGCTCCTTGTCCTCGGTTAATGAAATATATCTCTTGAAGGCCATGTAGGGGTTGTCTTTTTTCATCGAAAAGCACCGAATCAGGGAATCCTTTATCACTGAGGAAAGAACAGATCCAAAGTTACATTTAATAAAGGTCTTCGCTTTGAGAATAAAGATTTTCAGCAGCCCCCAGAGTGGTTTTATATAATAAATCAACTCAAATATGGGAACATCAGTTTTTTTGGGGGGGGGTCAAAAAGTCCTCACCCTTTGACTGGCTAATTCACAACTGACACAACTGACTCACAAATAAATTAGAGGTCACATGTTTCCTGTAATTATTGACCAGGTTTATAGACATTACACCAGGGATTTTGTCCCACTCTTCCATACGGACCTCCAGATCTTTCAGCTTTCTGCGCGGTCGCTGGGCAACACAGACTTTCAGCTCCCTCCAAAGATGCCATTGGGTTCGGGTCTGGAGACCGGTTAGGCCACTCCAGGATTTCAAGGCTGAGCTTACAGGGCTAGTTGTCTTTTCCCAAAATCTTGGACTTTAACATTTGCTATCTTGAGCAAAGGAAGGATTCTAAGCATCGACAGTGTAGTGCGTCCAATGTTAACCTCTGAGACTGTGTTCCCAGCTGTCCTCTGGTTATTGACCAGCCAATCCGGTGGAGTTCAAGGAGGATCTCTCACCTTTCTCATGATCATTAATATTCCTCGAGGTGAAGCCTTGCATCGAGTCCGAGTCTGAGAAGTTATGCTAGATTTCTTCCAAATTTTAAGAATTGTGGAACAGTTATTGCTATCTCCTGTGCCGTCCTGTGGCTCATCCCAGCCTTTGTACCCGTCTACAATTTTGTCACTGGTGTTCTTAGACGGCTGTTTGGTCTTTCCCGTGGTAGAGAGGTTGATGTCAGTTTGACTGAGTGTGTGGAAAGGTGCCTTTCATACACATAATGAGTTCAAACTTCTGCGATGAATACAGGTAATGAGTGGAGGAGAGGAGGGCTGCTCACAGATGAATTAACACATCTCTGAAAGCCAGAATCCTTGATAGTCGGTAAGTAATTAAATACTTTTTTGTTAAACAAAATGTAATAATCTTTAATGATCCCGCAATGTGATTTTCTGTTTTTTTGGGGGGAATTTTTATTCTATTCAATCACAATTGAAGTGTGCAAATGAAGAAAATGAAAAACATCTCCATTTGTTGAAAGTGGGATACTTGGAAAATCGGTTGTGTATCAAATACTTATTTTCCTAAGTGTATGTTCCCTTTATGCATTTTTCCTTTCACTCAGTTTCAAGTGCCAACGTCATTGACTGCATACTCCCAAAACTATGCAAGCTTTTCATATCCACGGTTGTAATACAACCACCGGAGGTCCGTTTTCAACCTTCACTGTCTAAATCCAACACTTTCCCAGAATAACAAACATCGTGACATGGAGGAGATTTCTGTAAAAGAGTTTGTACTTCTGCTGAAGTTTAGACATTTCAGTTTTTGTCTTATTCTTTGCTTGTTTTACCGGTCACACTTCTACTCAACACGGCCCCCACCATCTCCATTTTCTGTGTCTGGCAACCAGATGGGACAGCAGAAGTTACACCGAATTTTATTTAGTTACACTGACGTTTATTCAGTTTTGAAACTTTTACTATTTCCAGTCACCTTTTTTTCACACCCAATCAAGTAAACCAAGTAAAGAGGCAACATGTTTTTCTCTTTTTCTTCTCTTTTTCTATTTAAACTTTTCTGCTGAAGAGCTTTGACCTTTTATTGGCCAATGAAGAAGCTCCTGGAATTTCCGTTTGTGCCCGTAGCAGTATAATCAGAGGTGGCCAATCATTTTTACAAACGGCGCTTCTTAAAATACTTCCTTCTTAGAGGTGACACTTTCTAGAATGGAACACCTTATCATTTCATCTACCAACACTTGTTTTGCACTAACGAGTCTTACGCTTCGACTTGATTCCTGGCTGAGTCATCAGGTAGTAGATGTCCATGATCTTGTCAAGCCCAATGTTTTGGACACCCTGTAGGAAAAATGCAGTCACGAAAGCACATGATCTTATCTGAGACAGACACAGGGCATGCGATTCTACTCATTTAAGTTAAACTTGACCAACTGGCTAAACAATAATCTTTATGCTTATTATGTGAAATGCGCCTATAAACTATTTCTGTGTGCATGTGTGCGCTCACCCCGATGAAGTGAAGACGGCAATTTCTGTTGGCGTCAGTGAGGCTGACTGCCGCGCTAAACACTCCGAGGTTGCATCTCGATAAGACGCCAATCTTCCCTGGGGCCGGACTCACGCCCGACCTCACTGCTCCCACTGCCCTTTTAGCAGCTTCATCACCAACACCGCCTGAAGGGTGGGCAGCAAAACAAGCATTTTTGTCAGGGGCATCTTCTGTTAACATCTTGATAAGGCTGTTTCGGTTCCCCAGTGTGTCACAAGGCATTTCTGACTGGTTGTTGGACTGTTGTTTCAGTTTATTGGGCTATATATATATATCTGTTGCATTTACCTTTCTGGTTTCCTCCAACGAGAATCTTCTGAACTCCCTTGCAGACTTTAAGGATGGTGGCACCAACGTATGCGATCTCGGCTCCAAATCGAAAACTCTAAAGACGCATGAGAACGTTGTGAGGAGTTTATTTTACACAATAGTTGTTGTTTTTTTTATTTGCACTGAAAAAAAGGACACTGAAAAGGATAGAGTGGCGCAAATTGACCTAAAGATGCAAATTTTGATCTGATAAGTCAGGTTTTTAATGGTCTGTTTGGACACATAGATCAGGCTTCAGATACATAAACATGACGACATCTGACGATCTAAATCTTTCCGCCAGTGCAATTTTAGTGGCTGATTGGATTGCTGCAATTAAAAAAATAGATCTAAAAAAATAAATAACTTAATGCAGATGTGATTCATTAAAAAAGCAGATTTTCCTAAGAATCACCTCCATCCATCTCAGTGTTTCTGCATACCTGCGTCAGGTAGAAGATGTGGGTGTGGTTCACAGAGTGCAGGGCATTGACTGCTCCTCTGAAGGTGTAGATCTGCTGGTGGGGATCTCCAACCAGAATTTTCCCACAGCTTTGAGCCAGCAGCACGTCCATGACGGCTGAAAGATATCCCAAGCGTGAGGCTTTTCCACAAAAAAAAAAAAGCCGCAACTTCAGAATGCCTGTTGCCATACCGGGGGTGCAGTCCTGGGCCTCATCAATGAACAGCACGTCGTACCGATCGGACAGGCAAGGCTTTGGGTTTTGGAGTTGCCACAACTTCAGGTAACCTAGGAAACAAACGCTCCTCTCACCATGTGTGATGCCTTTTTCTTTCAATATTACTAAAGTGAGTTTCACTCATATATTTAAAGCTGGCTTACCATCGTGGGTCATGTAATAGGCCTGTTTTGATTTCACGTTGACGTTCTTCATTTTTTTCCAGATCGTTTTCGCATCTTGGACAAATATCTAGAAATTTATGAAAAAGAAGCATGTAAGTTCAAAGGGTTTTCAAAAACAGTGAAAGGCTATGTCATCAGCTCTCTTATCACATTCCTGTTTCTATCATTACCCTGTTTGTGTTTTAATAAATATGAACAGGTTTGGATTACACTTCCTATAAATACTGGTTACCAAATGGAGAAAATAGTCACTGGTGACAAAACGGACTCCCTGAACTTTGCTGAGACACAGAGGCTGTGATGGGGTCTCTTGGGTTTTGTGAAACCGAAGCAATTCTCAGCTAAAACCGACCTAGAACGGGCTTTATCAAGTGCACCAGCACTGGAACTGCTTTGTTTGGTCTTGAGAAGAATCGTCGTCACAAGGTTTTTAATCTTTCAGCTGGACAAGTTAAAAAGTTTATATACCATTTTTTCATCTCTATCTAGAAATTTCCGGACGCCTTTGTACATGCAGTAGTTCGGAACATGTCCGATGTTGATGTTGGGATCTTTTGAAGCCATGAAGGTGTTGAGAGTTGTCGTAACCACTTTGGCCTTGGTGTAACCACCGTGCCCTTCGGGCAGGACAGAGTTGATGGAAAACGGCTTCACGTTAGATGCCAGCTTTAGGTGATCTTGATATCTGAAAAGATCACAGGAGTAGGACAAAGTGATTTCAAACCAGAAATTTGTTTCATAAAAGTGTTCATTTGTTGCAGAGAATTGAGGTTTAAAAGTTCTCACATCTTCCCGATGTCCTTGAAGGCTAAAGAGTGGATGGTTTTGCAGTCCACGTTTGAGGGAAAGACGCGGCGGGCCTCATGAGCCACGGAATTGTTAAAAGACACGTACAGAAAACGGAGGTGTGGCCGCTGCTCAGCATACTTCACCAGTGTTGTTGTTTTCCCTGTACCTGAGTCACACAGGATGAGAATAGAAAATCATCAGTTCTGAATAAATAAAAAAGCACAAAGAAACCATTTCATCCAATGTCCCACTGCTTACTTTTGAATTAAAAAAAAAAAAGCAGCTGACTAGTCAGAACTGGGGTTTAACTCGAAGAAAATTGTCATAGCTTGCATGTACACACAATTGCAACAGTTGGGTTGGATGATGGGGTAAAAAACGCCCTCTGCTGATGAGTTATAAATATCCCTGTAAAACATTAGCTACATTAGCTGTTCTAATCCAGTATCTAAAAGCTGTTTGTGTTCATCACATTATCGCACCTTTAGCTTGTGAATGCCACAAAATCAGAGTACCTGCAAATGCCATTATTTTGACCACATGTCCATCCTGGATGTTGTGGCTGAGGATCCGCTGCTGCTCTCGTGTGAGGCGAATCTCAGGCCGCCTGCCACATGCACACAAACGTTCGACACGATACAAAACGTTAAATAATTACAGATTACTCTACCTCAAGAAATTCATTCATTACTGAGCGTTTAATTCTGCAGCTGCCACCTCATGATAAGGCCCAAAAAGGTCAGTTTGCTGTGATTTAATTGGAGATAATTAGAAAAGCCCTCTCATACAGATAAATGTTGCAAACCACAAATTATGAAACACAATGTTGACGAAGCCTTCATTAAATTTTACGAAACACGGTTAGGTTGTGCGTACACATCCAGCTTTTCTCGGCCAGGTGAACATGTGTGGGCTAAAGACACAGGGTAACTTAAGGGATAAACTGTGGCTCACTTTCCTTTAATGTGAAGAAACGAATAAAAAAAACATTTGTAAATTAACTTTACACTTCTGTCTGAAGCCCTGTTACAGCTTGGGTATCATAACATTGTGTAGCCTCACCCGTTCTGGACGGAACTGACAGAATATGGACCATTTTCCAGCAGGTGAAGCACGTGATAGATGTTGTAGTGCAACCTGTGGAGGGCGAAATCAAGAGAAAATCACGGGCGGGCTGACCGGAGTGATACCTGAACAGAAGTCCCGCCTGTTGCACGGTTTACCTGCTGCTGATCTTAACCCTGCTCCTCTCTAAGGCCAGCAGCATCGTGGCCATGTGGCTGAGGTACTCCGTGCAGGCTGTCAGTGACATGCAGCTTCTGAGCAGAGAGACCAAGGCCTGCACATCATTTACACTCTCGCTGAGGATCAATATGATGGCCATGGCAGCGTACGGGTTCGGACCCTGCAGATCAGACACAGGTGGAAGATTTCCCACACACACACTCTGAAGCCATCGTCTTGTCAAAAGGGTAATCGCGGGTCCTCGACATATTCTGTGTTGTGTGTGCAACTCAAACCTCAATGCCAAGGTGGACAGACTTCTGAATGGTGGGAATACGTAGTCTGATGGAGGCTTCGGCCTGAGGGAACAGCCGATGTTTCTTCACACACTCCAGCACGTCTTCTGGCCTCACGCGCTCTCCCACCTTGTGGCTAGCCATCAAACTAATAAAAACAACAACAAAAAAAATCGTGCTTTTGTGACTGGTTATGAAAAAAACACTCCAACAGTGAGTCTTTATGGAGAGATCTTAGCTGGATCTGTTCCCGAAGTCACAGACTTACACAACAAGGTTTCGAATGCTGTGATCGGAGGACCCGGGACCCGTTATCTTGCTTTTCCTGAGAGTGGAGGCAATCTCCTGTACTGTCTGCTCTTCTTTCATCTGGTAGCGGTAGTATTGCTTCTTGAAAGGCACAAACTATGATTTGGAAGACATCAACACAATAACTGTTAAACCTTCAGAGATCTGTTTTTTTTTTGTACATCTGCATCACCTACTAATATTTGTCCTATAACTTGATGCAAATCTGTTTTTCTAACTTTGGGGTCCTGGACGATGTTCCTCCAGCGATGGCAGACGAGGCTCGCGCTCTGATAGAGGTCCTGAGCTGGGACCAGAGACAGCACCTGCCTCAGCACCTCCTCTGGAAGGTCCTCCGCGCAGCCCTGAGGTTCGAGCAGCACTTTGCTGCTTCCCAGGAGTCCATAGTGGGCATCGGGAAGGGGCTCCACGTCCTCATCGCTGTGAACGCCCCACTCATCGAACGCCTCGTCATCTCCGAACATCTCTGCCGTCAGTCCTTCCAAATAATCCACGTCCGAGTCCTCGTCAATTTTGGGTGCCATGGCAACAGTTAAACGGCAACAATTGCCAACAGGAGCTTGATTGTCTGAATCAAGCTCTGGAGACAAGTCAGCAGCTAAAAGACTGTAGTCATCTATTTCATCTTCCTCTTCCTCAGGCTCTGCTGCAAAGGGGACTGCCAAAAGGCTGATATCATCATCGTCATAATCATCATCCTCCGACTCATCCACAGTTCCGAGCTCTTTATGGATAAATGTTGAAGTGGAGGGTAAAGTGGACTTTTGTGGACTGGAACTTATGACTTTTGTCACAGAGAAGAAGTCATTGATGGCCTTCTGCTTACCAGACGGACTTCCAGAGGCAGCTGCTGCTGAGAAAAAGGATGAGGGAGAGTCTGAGAGTCAAATAGCTTCCTGTTTAAAGGCAAACAAAACAAGGATATTCTATGGAACTTACAAATACTGACTGTCTGAAACAAGAGAGCAATTTCTAATAAGGAAAGTCATAAAACTCTGTTCTGACTAATATTTCATTTTCTTATTTGTACTGTGTGTATAATAACAACAATTTGTAACATTATCGTTCGTGAACTATATCATTTGTAGAGAAAAACATTGTCTATTGTTGTTGACCAAAGAATCCTTTAGGTACCAAAAGGGATGTACCGTTGCTTTGTCTACACATAACAGAGAGGTTAGCAAACAACCAGTTTTGAATTGGTTGCATCTAAAAATGTCTCAATTTGAATAGCCATTGTATTTACCACTGAGAAGTTAAAGGATTAATCTTAATATGCAAGGACCATCTCAAAATAGAACAGTCAGCAGATACCTTATCAGCCATATTTTAAGCATGCTTGCATTCAAATGGGTTGTGGCTTGTGAGATGAACTATTGAGTGATATTTTACAAAAAAGGGGGAGATAATCTAACAAAGACATGAGACAGGACCTTCAGCTGATCCATCTACCGTTAACAGAAGCCTTATTAGAAATGGTCTGAATGCATCACTTGTTGGTTCCGATTTTAAATCACATTTACAAAATCTTCTCTTGGCCTAAAGTGACTGAGAGTTTCTTGACATAGACTTCAGAGTCTGAAGCATATACCGGACTTCCGCCGCTTTGTTGGTGTCCTGGGGTACAGTCTCTGGTTAGGGTTATGCATCCACCGCTCATGGTTGGATGTGTGGGGTTGGGTAAGGGCGTCAGTGCCCTCTGCACTTTGTCCCAGTCCATTACATTCCTGTTCATTCAGGTGCTTTCTCTTTGCCTTCCCTAAAGAAACAAACAAGCAAATAGTTCCATCACAAACTATCTTTAGATTATGTTTATACTGTATACTGATACATTGGTCAATCCTCCTTTACATATAGCTAAACAAGTTTATTTACTGTACACTATTGTTCTCGACTTTGTTTTGACTTCTTCTTTTTCCAAACTATGTTAAGTTGACGAAAACACAGCTATGAGAACTTTGCACCTCTTACAAGAACAGAGGCATGGACGAAAATATGACATCTTACCCAATTTAAACGTTGCATGCACATTAGGTGTATTTTGTTAATTTATGTTACACTTAACTTACCTTTAAGCGCCACCTCCATATTGGAACCACTGGCGTTCGTCACTTAGTAACAAAGCCGCATTTCTTGTGAAGTAAGGTGTAAAATAACCGCCAAATAAGACTGCATTGACCAACTATAACCATAGAAAACAAACTTAAAGCGTCAATGTTGCGGCTAATGCTATTAGCATAAAAACTCTTGGTCGATATTTTTACTCTTTCTATTGTTACCTCTCTATGTAGTACTGTAACAGTTGAATGTTCTCGCTGACGCTTAAAATATATTTTTAACGGGAATACTGGCACGTTTTTTTGAAAAGGTATTTGGTTGGGGAAATATCCTTTTTTCTTTTACTTTTTCTATCATAACAGTTTTAGTATGTAGCTGTCACATTATTGGTCGATTGGGTCTTCTTTGGATTTTATTGGTAGCTCGAAAACTAGCTTCACGTCGTAATACCGCCCCCCAATGGCAAAAGAGCGGAAACGTCGTGGTGGCGTCGAATACAGGTGATAAAAGTATTTTACAGGCTTTCTGATTTAAAATAATCATTTTGGGGGCGGAAAATAATTAATAGTTAATCCTATGGTAAAAAAAATATGATGAGCATGTTGACCACATCATCATTTTTAAGCATATTTTCCTAAATCCAAACTACCCAAACTTGTTTATTTGATTTAACCATAGCAGGTGATGTTTTTCTGTTTAACGAGAGAGACGTTTGACATAAGGAGGTCAACATTCTATAAAAATATACATTACAGGACTGTCTCAGAAAATTAGAATATGGTGATAAAGTTCTTTATTTTCTTGCATGCAATTAAAAATCATGAAATGTCATACATTCTGGATTCATTACAAATCAACTGAAATATTGCAAGCCTTATATTGTTTTAATATAGCTGATTATGGCGTACAGTTGAAGAAAACTCAAAAATCCGATATTCTAATATTTTGAGATAGGATATTTGGGTTTCTTAAGCTGTAAGCCATAATCAGCGATATTAAAACAATAAAAGTCTTGCGATATTTCAGTTGATTTGTAATGAATCCAGAATCTATGACATTTCATGATTTTTAATTGCATTACAGAAAATAAAGAACTTTATCACAATATTCTAATTTTCTGAGACAGTCCTGTATAATAAGGCAATTTATTGTCTTCAGGCAAAATGGGCCCAAAAAAGCTGTTTAATTGATTCTGAATGGGTTGTGATCAATCCCTAATGTTAAGTTGCCAATAACCAACGTGTTAAAAAAGGATCTCAACTGCCAGGGGGTCTGGGGGGTTGAAGATGTACTGTAAATCAATTCTTATTTTCATCTTATTAATTCATTCCAGTCCAGACAAAAGTAGCTTCACATGTCTTTATTGGTCAGAAGTTTTGAGCTAAGTTAAGAACAAAAATCAATGTTGAGTTAATTACATCATTAGTAAGTTGGAGGTATAAATGGAAATGCCTCAAAACGGTATCAGAACCGTATATGAGAAATGCAAACCTCCCTCTTACATGGTTAGCACTTTTAATCAATCTTCCAGATATCATCCAGACACAGTTAATACATCTCTACTTATTTAACCGGAAATTACTTGCAATTAAGAACTGGCTTGTTTCAAAAGGTGCAAATAACAAGTTAGCATTTGTAATGTTTTTTTTTTTTTTTAGATCACTGAGAAAAAGAACAAGACGATTTCTCGAACTATTAGGAATTTCTTTTTTTTTTAAACTGGAAACTACTACTCATCTTTCTAGGAAAGTAAAACAAAATCCTAAAGCTACTCTGTATGACGAGTGCATACAAATGAATGCTTTCAACCATTGGCTGTTCAAAAGGCTTTGAGGTGTTTGTTAGCATCCCCACGCTGAAAGCAAAAAATGGTCCCGTTAATGTAGTGTCGGCAAGGCTCCTTCTTAACTGGGTCAGTTTTTCAAACCTTAATGATGTCAACCTTCCACTTCAAACTTGTGGTCCAAATTTGATAGAACACATACTTTGTCATCATAACGTTTGTTACCACTTTTTCTTATTATGTGTCAATCATCATTCTCCAAGCCCCTTGTAAAGGTAAGGACCATCTCTTCAACCTGTTTCCACTTCCTGCTCAGTCTCCTCTACTGCTTTAGGACGGGCAGCTCTCTTGGCTTGAAGAAGGCCTGAGCAATCCCCATAGCAAAGATGTAAACCTTGGAATCCACCACGATTTTTTCCTTCCGCAGAAGATCTGCGGAGCCAAACAAGCCAAGCATTTACAAATTGGGTTTTTCTGACAGTCCACAGGCTCCCGGGGGGAACGAGCCGGATATACTCACCGTCAATTTTTCCCTGGAATTCGTCAACCGGTAAAAGAATAACTTCCACAAACTCTAGAGGGAGAGGATTGAAGTCCATGTAATGGCTTGTGTGGTCCACCAAGTACACGAAATTATAAGATATAAAACTCACCTCCATCACCTGTGAAAGAACACAAAATTGGGGATTAATCAGCAGTTTTGGTTACATGGCAGGGAACTTTTCTCACCATATTGCAAACACGAGATTTGAGTTTTAAGAAACCTGAGTAACAGCATCTCCCCTTGCCAACATTCTTAAATCGTATGGAAAAAATAGCTAAGTCAGTACCTAAGGATTGATAACAGTGGTCAAAGTAAATTTATTTAAAAAGAAAAAAAGATACTGAGGTGTGGAATGAACACCAATGAAGGGTCGTGGCTAAGGATTTCTTAACTACGCTGTTTTTATATACACCTGACAGGACAAGCTAAGAGGATTTTTAACCAAAGTCAGTGGCAGTGTGTTAAGATGTGCAGTTCTGAAGATAAAGGTAACCACACTGTATCCTACAGGCTTTTTAAAGCAGTTTGGGATACATCAAACAATCTTAAATCTTAAACTGTTTTTTTGTTCTTTTCAGCATACTGGTCATCTTTTTGGAACAGCTTAAAATAGATTTCCTGACTTGTTCCTGGTGTACAAAAAACTCCTCAGGCTCTCAATATTCCTGTGTGGTACATACTGTACAATGAAGGTTTTAGCAGTTGCTACTAAATTGCACAATTAGGTATTAACTACTGTTTTTCTTTATATATTTGAACACTTAACACACACAACTGATTATTAGCTGATGTGTGTGTTTCACAAACGTTTCAGGCATTCGTCACTCCAGCGTCATCTGTCTTTTTCAAAGCACATTGCTGGCAATAAATGCTAAATTCATGAAAGAAAAATGTTTTAACTCATGTAAAAATACAGAAAAATACAGAAATTATGACTCAATTCAAATTTAAAACATAGTTTTCAAGCTTTTGTTTGGAAACAAGGTTTCAAACATAAGAAAACTATGATATTTTATTATCTACACTGAGTCAATCATTTAGGCCAACTAAACACCAGTAATCTAAGGTGTAATCTGTATAATTTTTTTAACTTATTTATATGGCCAGTAAATCTCTGCTGTGCAAGTGCAATAATCCAAGTCTACCGTCTACTGTGTAGTCTTTACTTAGCGCTTTACTGTGCAGATATTTTATATCTAAAGGAAACATATTCCAGGACATCACAATTTTTCTTATGCTCTTCTGTACCATGTACACTCTTTTTATATTGTCTTTTGAATTTTTTAAAATCTTCAATGGCATCTTATTTTAACTCTGCCCTTTTTTACTCAACATAAAATACTGGAACCAGAATTTCCCTGTAGGAGTAATCCCAAGGGATAAATAAAGCTGAGTCTAAGTCTGAGTCTAGTAGTGATAGTGGGAAAAACAATAATGATGTGTAGACTAAATGCGTGCCACTAACCCAGCTGTTGCGTCGGGTTAATGTTCTCCACGTCGTCTCCGTTGATGTTAACCAGCACGATCTGCGTGGTGCAGTTAGACAGGCCGGGGTCCAGACAGGTCACTGCAATCACAACGGGGAAGTTACCACCAACGATCCCTTTTTTTCCCCTTCTCTTTACACTACTGAACCTTGAACCTCTGCAACATCTGGAGTCATCAGAAGTTAAGATAAAACCACGAGCAGCTGCTAATGCAATCAACTGTGTTGTGCAGGGTCCGATTGGGGGACTGATACCTGGAGTGACTCCAACTACCTCCCCTTTGTAGCCAGTTTCTTCCTTTAGCTCCCTCAGGGCAGCCACCTCTGCGGTTTCCCCTTCATCGATCAGCCCTGAAAAACAGCAAAAAACCTTCACCAGACTGACCCGAACGTGTCGGGAACGCACCCGGAAACACAAGTTTTTAAGCTAAAAGTCAGATCTTGTTATTTTGAGTTCCCTGGTCAAGATTTGGAGGACAGTTCCTGCTCTAAGGGGGAAGAAATCGCTCGTGGGTGGAAAATTGGGTGACCTGCGGGAAACTCCAGGCTGCAGCAGCCCAGAGGAGGACGGAACTGCTTCACCATCACCACGCAGTCTTTGTGGAGAGTCCGTTTCAGCAGGGCGATGATTCCCACACCTTCCGAAAACACATATTAGACCCCAAACAATTCAATTACAACACGAGCGAATGAGACCATGAAGATTCTTAGTCACCATCCGCGTCTGTGTTGGTCCGCCTTGTTGTCCGTTTCACAGACTCCCAGGTCCTTGAAAAAAAGAGATGACACAAGATCAGATTTCTTTTCATTCTTTAATGCAAAAATCAGATTAAGATTGAACAATACCTGGTGTTTCCAGCAGGATCGACATATGTGGTCTTATCCAGCCTCACCCACTTCCCGGCTGCCATGACCTGGAACCCAAGCAGCATAAATACAGACAGTCACCTCCATCACAACAACCAGCCGTACCACAAAAAGTAGAGACATACACCAAGCAAAGACAGATTCGTTTTAGGGTTTCATTAACATTAACAAGAAGAGGATTATTTTTTGCCCCAGTCTGGTTCTGTTAACCCCAGTGCTGACATACATCCTTTTGTTTTAATACATTTCAAACACTGAGTTGAATATCTCTTTCACCACATTGAATGGTCTGATCTGACATGACAACAAAGAAGCAGCAGTTTTCACTCCTGGGCTTTGTCACTCGATTAGTTTTGTAAAATAGACATTGTGCAAGAACCTTCTCTCTATCAATGACCTGGACTTTGAATATAATGCCTAGTTTTGCTTTAGAAGTTAAAATCGAGTCAGCCGACATTTCTAAGTCTAAAACTTAACTATTAAGTGTAATTGTTTTTAAATGCTGCAGGTACATACTGTAATGCACTCTGTAAAAAAAAAATATATATATATAAAACAACACAAACCTCCTCTTTCACAATGTGTGGAGATGTGGTCACTTTGGGGTCCTCGGGTTTGCTCATTTTGCCAGTCCAAACAACTGAAAACAAAAACAAAAAATCCAGTGGGAAAAACTTTTTCTAAAATGTGTGCACAACAAACTTAGTGAGCCCAGCTGAGAGTTGGAAGAAATTACGAAGTTGGTCGCAACCTTTTAGAGTTGAGAGGACGAGACCGATTTGATCATGAGTTGCTCAATTAGCTAAACAACCAGGGAAAGCTCAACTCTTTCCGTTACATTTTCAAATTGAATGAGTCTGTTTGTTTCTTTGTTCCTTAACTATAGCGAGATGCTACGCAAGTTAAATGCTACCACGAGTCTGAGCTTATACTCTTTAAACTTAAAATTTAAATTGAAAGTCACTAAACTAACTCACGTGAAATCCTTGCCGTGTTTCAGAAGAGGATGGATGTGAGCGGTAGGAAGAATTCAAGAGTCACTCTGTTAGCACTTCCTGGGTCGGAAACGTCACCGAATTGTAGTTTTTGCAGGAGTACAGTGATACACTATAATAATGATACAAAAAAGAACATTTACTGATATGAATTTAATATTTTGGATGCTATTTGTCTATTCTGTTTAGACTGTTGAGAGTATAATTTTTACTTTACTGTAAGTCTCATTATTCTAGTTTAGCTTAATGATATACGGAAAAAAAAAACCTTGCAGCACATTAACCAGTGTCTGTATAAAACTGTCAATCTCTCTCTTTTTTTTTTACTAGATTACCAACAGTGTTACATGGGTCACATTTACAGCAAGTTTGTGGAAAAAAAATAATTGTAATAGACGATCTATGGAAGAGACGATCTATGTCACAAGTTCGTGTGTTTGCGTAAAGCCCGGGCCCGCGTGTGTCCCTCAAAAATACTTCCCCTTGGAAAAAACAATTAACACAAATTGGTCAAATTGAAAAAGAACAAAAGAAAAGAGCAAGAGCAATGCAAATAGAATACAATGTAAACAGATGGCAACGTAAACCACATACTGAAAGGTTGAAAGGTACTGAATGAAAAAGTTGGTCTTGAGTCGGAAGATATTTCCTGATGGACACGCTTGCTTTCCAGGATATTGCAGCATGAAGAAGGAGCAAGTTATCAACTGTCAGTTCTCGGTTTGGTATCCGATATTCAAGAAACATACAATTAAAAGGTAGGCAGTCGACGTTTGTATATAATGAAAACCGTGTAAAGGCTAAGACCTAAAATGTCCTACCGTCAATGTTGTTGAAAAGACTGTTTTGTAAGAAGCTAGCGAACCAGGCTTAGAGCTGTCATCAGTAGCCTTATCGTATGCAAAAATAAATGCATCCGAGTCCACTTTAGCACTCTTTTTTACGCCTGTAAAGGAGTATAGCTCTTTCACTTACAGTTATAGTTGATATTTCTGTCCTGTTTTCCAGTGTGGTACTTCCATTACCTCAGAATGTGATAGACTATTTACTGGACGATGGGACTCTGGTAGTCTCTGGGAGGTAGGAAAACAGACACAAACACACACATTTGTCATTTAGCCTACTATAAGTAACTTGAGTGAGAAGTGTAAAGATCACAACAAGTGACATAGCTCAATTTATCTTCAAATATATGGATTAGGATTTTCACTATTGTTCACTAATAGGATTTTCACTACTTTGAATATTTGATCATGTTTACATCGATTCTGTGATGCAGTTTAAAGTCTTCCTCATTCTATTATCCCCTCAGTGACCATAATACTCAGCCGATACACACTAATAACAGCGACTCAGATGCAGAGGAGGATATTCAGGTATGTTACCACTTTGATTGGAATCCATTTATTTAAAAAAAAAAGAAAAACATCTGTGAAGATGGCTGTGTTTCTGGCACACACCACTACCATCGCCATAGAGCTTCTGTATTTTCCTGACTGCCCCTAAAAACTAGATCAGCTAGTTTACCCAACAGTGAAACACTGATTTGCAATTCAATGTCATTGTTTTATAAGTGTACCACAATTTTCCTTTGGTCACTCCAAACAAAGGCTGTCTAAGTAAATCTTAAGCTCTTCTTGGCAAGAAGTAATTATAGTTGGCGAGGTTTTGTTTGTCCATACTAGAATAATTAAACTTGTGAAAATACTGAAAAACATGAATTGATTCATTTATTGAGAAAAGTAAGACAGTCATCACAACTGACCCGCGTTTCATTTTTATTTTACCTCTCCAACGTCCTCTAGTGGTCAGACGACGAAACGACAACTACGGTCACTGTGAGTATATTAAGTTCTGCAGTGTATTTTGTTGAAGCACATAGAAATCACCAAGAGAAATAGCCACCAGGCACATTTTTTGACGGGTCAATATGATTGGCTGTTTTTCTGCACCGATAACAACTACTTTTTATGTGTTTGACCTAAAATACCATTTTACTCCATTATCAAACCCCATTTTTCTTAGGTTGACAGCTATATTGCATCACATGAGTACAGAAGCCTACATATAGTGCTTTTATCAGTCTTGTCACTTTCTTTCTATCAGGCTCCCGAATTCCCAGAATTCAACTCCAAAGTGCTGGAGGTCATAAATGCCCTGGGAGGGAGGGCCTTCCCCAAACTCAACTGGAGCGCTCCACGGGTACAAATAAGCTTTTTTATTGCTTGTAAATTTGTCTCCCCTAGAGAAGAGAAGGTATAGCCTAAAAGGGACTTTCTTGGCTAAATGTATCAAACAAAATAAGAGGCGTGTTACTTAATTTAAAAGAACTGCTTCATGTACCATTTACAGCATGAACAGGAACAGGCGTAAATCAAAAGGCACGTTTTTGTGTGTGTGTCTATCTTTCAGGATGCAAACTGGATCGCGCTGAACAGCTCTCTGCAGTGTCAGAGCCTCAGTGATATATTTCTGCTCTTCAAAAGCTCTGACTTCATCACCCACGACCTCACGCAGCCGTAAGCTCCGCCTCCCGCCCAACAGCGCAAAAACGCCCACTTCAGTCACTGGACATAAAAACGCTAATTTTGCTTGTTTATTTACATTTGCGCCATCTCTTGTTCAGATTCCTTCAGTGCAGTGATCAAGACTCCCCAGACCCGGTCATCAATTACGAGGTATTCTGATCTTCATAAAGAAGCCTGTACATATTTATGTAGATTGAATTATAAAGGGAATATTCACTGGCACACTAAGAATTTAGCATCTAGTCTCATACCAAAGTTATCCATCCCAGTCACGTCTTATGAGCAGTTCATGTAGATGTGTTGTTTTTAGTCTGGTTCTGCACTTTGCTAACCAGATTAACTTATTAAACACTCTGAATGGAAGGTCAGGGCTGCTTCATTTTCACATAGTGTAGAAAATACAATTTTCAGGTTCCTGACTTGGTATGTTGTATGCTAACTTGCTTTGAATTTAGCTGTGATGCTGCATTCAAAGGCATCTGGGATTCTGGAAAATCTGCAGATAGCTGTCAGATTTCTTTGTGGATAACTCTTCTTAATGAAGGCCCCCCGTACTTTTGTCCTCAGCTGGTCCTGAGAAAGTGGAGCGAGCTGATTCCCGGCGGAGAGTTTCGCTGCTTCGTCAAAGAAAATAAGCTGATAGGTAAAATCTATATTTACAAATGTCAGAAGTAGAAGTAGAAGTAACTGATAAGAGCGTTTCATGAACACGAGCATTTGAGGCAGTGAAAGAATCGGGTTTGAGCTACATGAATGACTTATTCGTATGATCTTGCAGCTATCTCCCAGAGAGACTTCACTCAGTATTACCATCACATCCTGAAGCAGGAGGAGCAGATCAGTCAGGCTATACAGGAGTTCTTCCTCCAGCACATCCAGTATAACTTCCTGGATGAAGACTGTGAGCATCTGCTTTCTGTTTCTCTTTTTTTTTCTTTTGTTAATGCCGAAAATCCATGTAATATTTGCTATTTTAAATTAGATGAACTTTTTTTAAGGAAGAAGTAACATCTAATGTTTTGCCTTTTCTTTTGCAAATACAGTGATGTGAATGTTTGATTAAAAATCTCTTACAGATGCTTTTTTCCTGCTTTTACAGTTGTGTTTGATGTCTACAGAGACAGTGAGGTAACCAGCTGCTCAGATTTTTTATTTATTCATTTTTTTTTTTTAATGGTAGAGGTATATACAGCCTCGGTCTGGGCTGTTTTATGAGTGTCACGAGCTGCGTCCTTTCGCAGGGGAAGGTGTGGCTCATCGACCTGAACCCCTTCGGAGAGGTGACCGACGCGCTGCTCTTCAGCTGGGACGAGCTGACGTCCGGCGGGGGAATCGCTCAGCGGCAGCAGGTCCGCAAACGCCACGCGCGTTCCCGACCTTTTTTATGTCCGTCGTGTCATTTCCCCACAAAACCAAGCCAGCGTGTCCCTGTGCCTGTTGTAGGACAGCCCGGCGTTCAGGTACACAACAAGCGAGGTGACCGTGCAGCCCAGCCCCTGCCTGAGTTATCGAATCCCACGGGATTTTGCTGACCTCTCTACCGGAGAGGACGCCTACAAACTCATTGACTTCTTAAAACTGGTAGGCAATTTGACATCTGTAAATTCTAACTAAATTATTGGAATTATCACTTTCACTTATTTTATATTATATATTGTATATATTATTTATATTCTGTCTGGAATTTTGTATATATATATATATATACATGTATAGACATGTATATATGTATATGCTGTTGTTTTATTTCTGGAGTGAGTAACAAAGATAATTTCCGTCTGGGATTATTAAATTATTTCTGTTCAAATGCTTGTCAAAGTGGCATCCTTTTGAATATTGACACCCTAACCCTCACACACTGCCCCCTGATGGCTGGCATTCTTCATTTAGTGCCCTCTAGTGTTGTACATTTACTGGATGAACAATTTACATGCATGATCGAATTGAGAAATACACAATTAAGTTATATTATCCCAAATTATCAATGCTCTTATATCTTTCAGAAAATCCTGTAGCCTCATTCTGTAAAACGAAAAGCACGTGAAAAATGCGGACAGTTCTTTTTACAACATAATTTCTTGTCTTTACATCAAATTTAGCAAGGATCCCTAACTTTCCTCGTTTCTCTTTCCACAGAAGAAAAGCCAACAGGAAGAATCTGACGACGAAGAGGATGAGAGCGCTCCACAGTGACACGGGCGCCATCAGCCTCATTTATGATAATGTCTGCATAAAGTGACTTTTTTTTTTCTGGAGGGGGGGGTTTATGCCATTTTCTTCTCACTATCCTCTGAGCAGACAAAAGTGTACCCAAACTCTTCTTGAATGAGTGGATCATGCTAACACCTTCCCAAAGGACTGATTTCTCTGATAACAGTTGTTTTTTTTTGTTCGTCTTATAGCAAGGAGATGTATTTGCCACTACTGTAAAGATCGCCTGCTTTTATACTTTGAGATGTGTAATATAGTTTATGTATCTGTGTTGAAGCCCATCTTTTGTCACTGGATTTGAAGTGAACAGAGTGACCATCCAATTGCAGTCACCTTCATTTTTTTTCTCTGCTCCCCATCTTTCTCTACCAGTTTCCACCCACTGCTTCCAGCTGTCCCCGGTTTTCTTTTTGAGCCATTTTTTTTCATGCTGTAGAGTTTTGCTCCACAAAAAGAAGAGGGGAAAAAATACACAATTAAACTTCTTGTCATATATCATAAAATAGCACATCATTTATTTCTGACGCAAAAGATGAAATTATACTTAAGCAGCTCTTTTGCAGAACTATGGAAGTCTTTTTCTGTAAGTTACACCAAAGGAAAACCATAACTATGCTAAAGGATATTACACATTTCAAGAAAAAGCTTAAAGGATGGTTATATTTGAATACCACAGTTCTGGAAGCTCTGGGGTATGATATCTAGGGAAGCCAGTTTCTACATTTACATTTATGCATTTAGAAAACACTTTTATCCAGAGCAACTTTCAAAAGAGGGTTTAACATTCAATTACAACACCAGTTACACACTTACCTTAAGTGCACTGTGCTAGAAGAGGATTTAACATTAATATTTAACATTCAAATATGACTTGGATAACACAAGTACGATAAAATGAGTGCCATATGCTATTAGGAAATAAATCCATAAAGAGCTGGTGGGTTCCATAGATACAGAGTCCAACCTGATGTGGACATTGTGAATAGTTGGCTTGGCTTGGATGACAAGCAGCTCAGTTTTGGAGAGATTCAATTGGAGGTGGTGACCTTTCATCCATGCAGATATGTCAGAACGACCATCTGAGATTTGCGTCGGTACTGAGACGTCGTCTGTAGGAAAGGACAGCTACAGCTGGGTGTCCTCTGCATAGCAGTGATGGGAGAAGCCATGTGACTGGATGATCGGGCCCATCTAAGTGGTGTATATTGTAAAGAGGAGTGGACCCAGCACTGAGCCTTGGGGCACCCCTGTGGTGAGGTAGTGTCACATCCATGTTTGGCCTTGCCATGACACCTTCAAGGATCGTCCATTTCGGTAGGATTGAAACCAAGAGTGTGCAATGCCCTCGATGGCCATGTTTCTACCTGTGAAAGAAATCAAGTCCAAGGATAAGTCATAATATTGGGACTGAAAGTTGAACATTTGAAATATAACGACAAAATGGGTTCAAGATATAAGATACAAAGTCAAAATTGTGAGATAAAATTACCTTATTATTTGGTAAAGTTGATAATATGGGGGGTTAAACTCATCACATGAAAGCTTTAACTGTAGTGTGAAAAATATAAATAAACTGAGCTATCCATAGATCTTGATCTTGGACCCATAAGCCCATTCAAGCTTGTGGGGAAAGAAATCCATAAGGGTAAGTCCTACCTATGAGATATTCTTCACCTAAAGTGTTAAAATCACTTGAAACATCTTAACATACATGAAAACGGTGTTGCTTTAAGTATGTCTGCTCCACATCACAGCATCCTCTGTGGATGATCCAGCCACCCGGTGGAGTCCCCAGGAAGCCGATCATCCCGGTCCTGCTGCAGGACTACAACTCCCAGCTAAATGTGCCTCTGTCAGTCCTAATCAAAAGCGTTGCCAACTATTACAGACTTGCCGCAAACAATTTTTTGTCATTAAATAAGCCAAAAAAGAGTGCTAAACAATTAAATGTGACATTCCTCTCGTTTAAAAAAAAAGAAAACATTAATTCTGTAAATGGTTTAGCAGAAAAAACCCACAGAGTGATGAAAAGTATCACTCTTTTTAATTAAAGACTATTGGATATTTGAGTTAATGAAATAGGGAACTAGGTGTAGGTGACTACTTTAAAATGGACTTCGGGTTGCTATAAACTTGAAAATATACGGGCCTTTACAAAATAAAACTATATGGACATGTCAAATATATAGTCATTTTCAGGTGTAATGGAAACATTTACCGGTTCAAAGAGAATTGGTGACCACCCCGAACCGGATGTGGTCTGAGTGGGTTCTGTGGCTCGTGCAGCCTGCAGAGTATATAAAGGTATGGGCCGACATGCCGCCACCTCTGCATGTTTAAGACCGCGGTTGGAACGTGGGGGGGTCGTCGGTATCTGGGTTTTTCAGTTTTCCAGCTGTTCTCTATCTGTGAGGATTTAAACCCCACGAACCACTGACGCGAGGTGAATATGCTCTAGTGTAAATATACGTATTGCCACCGGAGACGTTTTTATTCCGTTTTCACCTAAATGTTTACACGCTTGGCCAGCTCAACTTTAAAATCACCCCAAATTAAAGGCAAAGTTTGACCGCCGGAGTCACGAGGCAGTGGCTGGTACTTGAAAACGTTTACATATATATTTTTTCTTATTTTATTGTGAAGCGGCTGCATCTTATCTGGTCTTAATTAGTCTCGAGGCGAAAAAATAAACAAAATTAGAATAAATCCAATATTTGTGCATCATTACTGTCCGTATATTTCAAAACCATTAGTGGAACTCGTTCCTCATAACTGAACAGGGGCATTTAAACTCGTGACAATTGTTTGTAAATATGAATGTTTCGAGCTGGTGCCTCTTTATTTTTTATCATGACTGTTGCTTTCACAATTTATCCTGATAGAGAAGTAGGGGGGCACGTTTTCTGGTAGCCTCCATAAATGCTTTGTCACAGTCTTGGCGGCAGACCAAATTGGGCCGAGTAGCCTCAGTTCGATGTGAAACAGCCTCTCGGCACCAGCCGAGTCTCCGTTCTCCGTCGCAACTGCGACGCGCAAACGCACCAGCTCTCATTCAAATCGTGTCTCGTCTATTTTTTCCCCCTTTCTGTCCAGGTGGTAGGCCATTCAGCATGGTGCAGCTTTCTCCTTCCCTGACCCTGGACGTTCCCCATCCACCTGACCGCTCAGGTGAGGGTGGGGAGGAGCACGTGAAGGCCGGCAGTCCTAAGGACAGCTCGGCCGAGGTGCTGAACAGCCTTCAGCTCAGCCTGGAGATGTCCACCGTCTACAACGGCTATGAAACTTACATAGAAGATGGCCTCATTTGCCTGAAGCACAAAATTCGCAACTTGGAGAAGAAGAAGGTAAATTGTTGACCTGCAGTTATTTATTATTTTTTTTGTTGTCATTCTTTTCATGACTTTGAAGTGTGGACGTATGCCATGTTTGAAAAACCATAAATTCCCCCCCAGTTGAAACTGAAGGACTACAATAAGCGCCTGAGCCAGGGTGAGGAGCTAAACAATGACCAGAAGGTGAGAATAAGTGGCTACAAAACAAACAAATGAACAAAACAAAAAACAAAGTTGTAGGTTTTCAGAGCCTCTGCTTTGATTTTGTTAGATGGCTGCTGAAAAGTATGATGAGGTGCTCCATAACCTGGAATTTGCAAGGGAACTGCACAAGACCTTGGATGGGTTGACTCAAAATGTAAGTATTTTTCTTTTTTTTCACAATAACCTTCATTTGATTAACTTTATTTAGGACTCTTTATGGTATTGGCCACAGCAAAAGCAGCTAAGGTTGTATAGTTTTAGGGTTTCAACACTGGTTTATCGTTATGGGACCAATTGTTAATTGGCCATAAAGGCAATCTTTTAATTTTAAATTTGACTTTTCAATTTTCAAATTGTATGCATGAAAGCATTTACAACAGAAAAGTATTTCATGCAGTCATGTGAGAAATGAATGCAAGCCGTTACAGTCTGTATTTTTGTCTTTAGACTTTAGGCCTGTTGTCTGAAAACGGGTTCAGATGGGTTTGTGCTCTCTGTCCTGATATTCAAATTCTTCTGGAAACATCCGTCTGCTTTTCAGCTGCTGAGGGCCCAGAAGAGGGCAGTGAAAAAGGACCAGGTGGCGAAGGTTGAGGCGGAGAAGAAGCGCCTGGCCATGATGCTCAGGGTCCAGCACCTCCTTGTGTGCCTGCAGCAGGAGGAAGTACAAAAAGATCTGCTCAGTGGAAACAACCACGCACCCCACATCTCAGCCCAACAGCTGCGCAGCCTGAACCACCTCTCTGATCTGCTGGGGATCAAGAAAGATGGACGAATAAGGTGAAAGTTACACTTTTTATGCGGATTTTCAATTCTCATTTGATTGTGACAAAGCAGCTATGCTGACTTGTGCTGGAGTCTTTGCTTCTGACTTATTAGTGTTTTTCCCCATCCTACACATTTTTTTGTTTTTAGCGTTGGCGTATAGTGTCTAAATGATAGAAATGTCTTTACTTGGCCGACTTTCTAAGACAGTTGTGCTGAGGGAGAAAATATAGTTTTCTTATTAAATGATTAGGTGATGACGTCTGCATCGAGTGTGTAGAATTACTAATGCATTGGAGTTTATCTAAATGAGAAACCCAAGTTAAATCCAGCTTTAATTGTACATAACTTGGTAAACAAACAGTATTTAAAAGTACTTTGTCAGAATAGTAGTTTCCCATGGAAATTAAGGTCTTTATTAAAATTGAGTAGATTTTTTAAAACTTTTATCTACAGGGTGTGGCATTTTTTAAATGTAATTTTATTCGGGCTAATGCTATACAGATGTCAAGTTTTTTTTTTTTTTTTTAAAGATTTTTACTATTTTTTTACATCTCTTTTCCTTTAGTTTAGAGGAGCAGATGGAGCAGGCTGCGCTGGTCTACATGGACCTACTGGAGGGAAATGACAAACAAGTCGCTGGATCAACATGTAAGAGGAATAATTTTAAAAAGTTTGAATTTTACGTCTGGTTCTCATCTGTCCTTATGAAGTGCGTACATGGGTATGGTGTAGTCTCTTCCAATTGTTTTTCTCACCTCTAGGTTAGCTTTGTTTCCATTAGATTAGCCCTAAGTAGAGATCTTCTATGGTGGTTGGTTAAAGCGAATTGATTTCAACTATTGTCTCTAAAACTGAGAAGAGCCTTGTTATCCTCCAACTTGCTTTTGTGTTTTTATTTACATTTTTTTTGTCCCTTCTGGTCATACCAAGCTAGTCGCATTAGTGGTAGCAAATGTTGTGATGTTACCTTGCCTGAATGTCTTCAGCCTGTTGTCTTCCAAAGCCACTGATGGCAAAAGGAGAATTGATATTGGATGAAAACATTTTAAATGTTTCATTATTTTATCCAGACTAAGCAAGAAAAGTAGACCAATTTTGGTTTTCACCTCTTGCATTTGACATGCTACATCTATGAAAGCGCAGCCTGTGTTGGCCAATTTTTCTTTTACAAATAAAAAAAAAGAAAATAATTTACTTTATTTATTCCCCTTCCTAGACAAAGCTTTAAAAGAGGAGCTCATCAGACTGTCAAACTACAGCTACTTCAGTAATCTTCCGCTTCCATCAAGCAAGTCTCCACAAACGCTGCTAAACTCAACAAACCACAACCGTAAGAGTGCAGCTACACCACCAATATGTTTGCCCCAAAAATGGGTGTTTTAAACCAAATACTTTTGGTCCCAAAGCAGAAATTGTGATCTTGTTGTGCCCTGGAGGAGTTTTGATTGGTGAAATGCACCTTCCACAAAGTTGTTGAATGCACAGCTATGTTTTAGAGAGAATTGAGTTTCTTTGACATTTTTGGTCCATATGCGGTGTAACTGAAATTGTAAGTGTAATATTTTACTGCAACAATGCTAACAGTCAAGGCACGTTTTAATTTATTTCTGAAATGACTTTTTGCCTAAAGAAAGGATGAATCTCAACCCCAATTCTTTTGTTTCTTTTTTTTTCTTGGGCTCCTATCAGCCATGTTAAAGTCAAAACAAAATGAGGTATCTAAGGAGGTAAGATTACTGGGATGTTTTTCTTTTTCTTTTTTTTATTTTATTTATTTTGTAAACAAATTTTAAAAGTGATCATAATTTGGAATCTATTAGACTGTCGGTCATTAGTTTTTCAGCAGGCTGTACCTGAGTGAAATGGAGACTCCTTCCACTCAAAACTGGAAGGAGGATTTCCAGGCCATGAAGGAGCGGGAGCCACCCGACAGCTGGGAAGTGGAATTCCCAGATGATCCATCTTCAGTGCGTACTATAGTCAACAAATCATGGAGAGGAGCTGCCACCTTCATCCCTAAAGTAGCCCCAAATACCTCCAAGAAGCCTTCTGCTGACTACAAACAGGTAAAACATCCATTTCTTTTTCCTGGGCATTGATTTTTAAATGACTATTTTAGTCTTCGTGTTTCCAGTGTTGTCACTTTCCAACTGCCAGGTGTTGCATTTTTACCTGTTAGACATGGGCTGGTATGAATTATGAGGGGAAACCCCTTGTAGGTTGTGGTTTAGAGAAGATTGAAACTTTGATTCTTAAAAAAATAAATAACTAAAAACAAGGCCATTTACAGCAGCATTCCGTATTATGATTCCCAGAAAATGTACAGCATTAAGTGTTCAGCTTTGCACTTGAACTTTGATTTTTTTAAAACAACAAAAAAAACCATCCATGTCGGAAGCTCTTTTTTTCAAAATGGACATGACTGGTTGGTTTCAAATCAAAATGACTCTCTGTTCTGCAGAGAAAAGAGAAGAAGGCCAAAGGGGAACAAAATGCCAAAGTGGTGAGTGCTGAAGATCAGAGCAGATGTCTCGGTTCTCTTTTAACCACTGGCTAAGCTTAATCCCCTTAATGGATGCTTTAGTTGGATATACCGGTGGAGGTATTCAGCTCCTCACCCACTCTACCCAAAGACCCCATTCTGAGGAAGCAGCAGCTGGAGGACCTCATGACTAAGATCCACAGCTCCTTCAGCTTCATGCAGGTGATCTGAAAAAATGTTGAGATTCAAAGGTTGGATTTTCAGTTTTGCCACTGGAACATTCAGTGGCGAAACTGAAAATCCAATCCTTTTTTTTCCTTTTCAAGTGAAATTATATTTTAGAGATTTAGCAAGATTAAAAAAAAAGTATATATATTTGACTATTTTAGTAATGCATTATTTGTTTTTATGGTTTAAACTTTTGTATTCTGCTCAGGACTCTCTTTTAGATGGTGAGAGTTCGGCCACCAACGGTCATCCCAGGCTGAAGAGACGGCCATCTGGAACTTCCTCACCTCTTGGTAATAAAGCAGAAGATGCTCAGTTTGGTTATGCAATCTTTTTCCCCCATGCTAATTAAACATGCAATAATGTGAAAGGAGACAAACTTCAAGCTTTGCTGCTCATCAGTAGCACTTAAATTCTTACATTTTTGACACCACAGGAATCAAGTTGTACTTTATTTATTTTTATTTGGGCACATCAGCACTTTGATTTGCCTGAGAAAAATTAGAAACATTTTGGGGTTTAATTGTGGAGCACAAGTAAAGAAATTGAATTTAAGTCAGTACATTGAAGTCTTTTTGGATATTAAACCTGATAATACTATTTCAACTTTAAACACTAAATGCTGTTATTAATTAAGCTATTGAAGCAATTTGTATGGCTATGAATAATCTTTTTTTTTTCCTTTTTTTTTTTTCCCCCGTAACCATAACCAGTTCAGGATGGGTTGAGAAGTCCACCTGATCCCCTTCCAAAAGTGATGCATGTAAGCTGTATTGCAATGCTTATTTATTTTGTTTAAACTGAAAACCTTTTAACTTAACATACTTGTTTTGTTTTTTTTTCTCTTCCTACCCCATCCCCCAAAATCAGTCCACCCCGCTTCCGCCCAGGCTTTTGGACCGTAAAGTTAGTTTGACCATCGGGGATCAGTGCCTGGATTCCGCTGACCTGTCCTCGAAGGACCTACCTCATGTAGGGAACCGCCACGTTCTGTCAAATGCATAAAGCCTCCTGTGTGTCCCACATTCCTGAGACATGTCATTGGCACATCTTCTCTGCAGGAGTCTTTCCAGTTGTCTGACCGACAGATATTTTCACCACCGCTGTACCGAAGAGACTCGGCCATCACTGCTCCCGATGAGAAGAGCTGTCCATGTGTAAAGTCAACGCAGAAAAAACATTGACAGGAATCGTTTGGGCTCTGTCTGAATTCTAACACACAGTTAAAACCTTCCCAGACCCCAGTGACCGATTCGGGGAAGCAGTCGCCCTGTAACGGCATGCAGTCTTGCACTTCCACCCCACCCCAGGCGGAGGATTTCTCCACGCCGCCCACCAGACGAGCCCTGGCCTCTGCACAGCTGCAGAGCATTCAGTCAGTAGGTGTCACGCGTACGTTCGCCGAATAGGCGGCTCAAACTGAACGTCGATTCCCACAGCCTCCTTTCAGTGCCCACGCTCTGCCTCCCGTAGGTTTTCAAGGCCTTACCCCAGAACGGGGAACTGCAGTACAAACCCAGCGCCGCAGTGTTCTCCGAGCCAAAGTACAGCACGGCCAGTACCCAAACCCCACCAGAGTTTGCTCCTCCAGACGAGCCTCAAGTGGGTATGTTGGGATGGTGTTCAGTGACCCTGCTTTCCGGGGGTAAGAGAGTAAACCGCTTCGTTTGTTTAATACGTTTACCGTATAATCTCTGTAGTGTACCAGTCAGATTACACAGTGACCAACGGCGCACAGGGCTACCTGTCCCCTGGTCAGTCAGGTGGGGGCGCGAGTCGATCCAACCAGTCGTACTACAGAGGATCAGTGAGAGGTATGGCACGTGGTGGCAAGGGACTGGCACAACCTTTTCGCTCCTCTGGTTGGCACCGAGGTATCTATCCTGACTTTCTGGTTTTCCTTCCTTCTCACTATTTCCCCACCAACATTTTGGCTACATATCTATTCTGGGTGGGGATGGCACATGATTTCTGGTATACGTATAAAGAAATGCTCACCTGACCATGATTTCTTCTCCCCAGGAGGGTCCTACATCCCTCAGGCACATCTCAGGGACTCTGGTCCTCTCCTTTATGCAACAAGGGTGAGCCATCTTTTTAAAAGTTTTATTTATTCTTTCAAATTTAGTGATGGTATGTAAAATTACAAGTCTTCACCAAGGGACCCATTAGTATTAACTTGATGGTGTTGAAACCTGTTGTATAATTACAATAACTTATGCATTTGATTTTAGTTTCCCTTAATGTAGAAAAGTCTCTTCATTATAAGATAATTGACACAATTAGATATGGTTTCTACATCTATCCTGCTTTTAGAATTTTAATTTCTGTTCTCTTTTCAGGACTCGGGATACCAACATATCTACAGACGAGCAGGGAGGCATAACTCCAGTGGTGAGAACACGCAGTTCTTTGCTTCAGATGCTCCTTTTACAGCTCTGATGTGAGACCATATATAATGATACAGCAACAAAAAAGTAGCCTCTCTGACCTTCAGACTTGGAGAGGAACCGTAAGGTTGTGAGTTCCGTAAGTGCCAGGCATTGTTTTTGTTAAATTATTCTTTCTGGCCATCAGCAATGCTGAACTTTTTTTTTCTTTTTTTAATTTCCCCATGAATTTTCTTATTAGAGAAGCCAAAACTTGACCTTTCCAATTTAGACTCTCAAAGGCATTTTCCGTTGCAAAAAAGACAGTTGTCGAGTTTAAGAAAAAAAAAAATATATATATATGTAAAGCTCCAGCTGCTTAAAAGGAAGTTAAAAAATTACAAATGGATACAGTTTCCTGAAGTCAGACTGAGTTCCATGATGGATGTTAGATAATTAATTTTTCCAATGTTTTTTAAGTACACAAACATGTCCAACAGGGCATATAAGCAAATGAATAACATAAAACTAGCAAGTCTCACTTTGGTTGCTTTTTTTAAAAACTTGTATATTTTTAAATTTTTATTATTTTTTTTTTTATTAAACTTTAAATTGCATTGCACGCAAGTATCAAACTACACCACCTGTGGAGTGCTTCTTAGCATTTCATTAGGTACTTTCTACATACATTCAACTCATTGCTCCTAATTTTTTTAAATGATTGGTGATTTTACTTGGTTGTATATTTTTTTCTGGCTTCTCGTTGGAAAGAAACTTCAGTTATGTGCTGCATATTCTTTGATAGCACTGACCGTTGTCTGCTCTGCTGCAGCCTGGAGTGACTCCTCCCAGGTGAGCAGCCCGGACCGGGACGGTGCCTTCACCATCGTGGACTCGGGCCACGGGGATTCCATGTCCGTATCCACACTGGAGGTCCCGCTCACTCCCCACAGCCACCACCCTACGACCCTGCTCCCCATGCAGCTCTACCCCCTCACGCAGCCCCTCCGAGTTGCCTTCACCGCTTCCCGCACCGCCAACTTCGCCCCGGGCAACCTCGACCAGCCCATCGTCTTCGACCAGCTGCACAGCAACCTGGGGGAGATGTACGACACGCACATCGGCCGCTTCACCTGCCCCGTGCCCGGAACCTACGTCTTCATCTTCCACATCCTGAAGCTCGCCATCAACGTGCCCCTCTACGTCAACCTCATGCGCAACGAGGAGGTGATGGTGTCGGCCTACGCCAACGACGGCGCCCCGGACCACGAGACCGCCAGCAACCACGCCATCCTGCCCCTGTTTCAGGGCGACCAGGTCTGGCTCAGGCTGCACCGCGGCGCCATCTACGGCAGCACCTGGAAGTACAGCACCTTCTCCGGCTTCCTGCTGTACCAGGACTGAGCCGCCGCCGGCCGAGCGTCCCTCCGATTCCACGCGTACCGTTTTGCGTTGCCTTCTCGTGGGAACCAAAACTGGCATTTCATGTTCTAGCAGGTGGAATATCTGTGCCTTTTTTTTTTTTTTCCACCCTACACCCATTCACAATATAACAGGTTTGCGGCCAAACGGGACAACCACCACATTCAAAAGCTTTATTAAGATTTACGGTGGGTTGTTGGATTATGTTTACAAGACCAAAAAAAAAAAGAAATTGACTTACTTGATTTTGGTTTAGCAGTTAACAGTGTTGCTCCCTGTGACTGACTCTCATACAACTGAACTGTGACCTTGTTGCTGCTGTTCATTCTGTAGCACATCGCTGCACAGCCTTTAAGTCACATGCTGCAGTGATGACTCTTATGCAATGGTATGAATTTGTGCCTCTTTTTTTCTTTAATTTATTTATTGTTTTCTGAATGGCTTTTGGATGATGGACCTGCTAAGCGGTTAATGAGCTGAATGAATGAATGGCTTATCTGGGGAATTCTAACCTTGGCACTATGCTTGATGCTGGTTCTCTATGCATTCAGTCTTGCTGCTGTGTGAATGAGGGGGAAAATAAAGATGGTAAGCGTATTTCTTGGTGGCGGGTATGGTGTTGTACACTTGAGATCAAACTGGATCACTAACAGGTGACTGAACAATGGAAGTGGTTCCTCAGTGTGCTTAAATAAAAAGATGAGCAGTGAACTTTGGTCATTCTTTGTCTGAGAAAACTGGTATGTACATCTGTTACTGATTTTACAAGAAGAACACAATAGAAATAATTGCTGGTAATCTTGACAACAATTCTCACTTATGTTATTAATCTTTGCTCCACATTCACTTGTTTGTAATGGTTGCGATGAGCTCAAATTGATCACATGTATACCATCCATCTCTGCATCTAGTTGAAGAATATCTTGCAAGTTTTTATTGGATTTAAAAAGAAAACTAGGATATTTGGGACATTTGCCACCTGCTGAAATTTGAAAATCTTTATGCATCTGATAAAACTTTACCCAGCAACATGCTTACATTCTAATGCTAACTCACTGAGTTACCCTAAGTGTTTGTTGAACCACTTCTTAATGGACTGTTTCAACTGGTAATTGTTAAAAGTTTTTTTGTTGGCTGCAATGAGGCATGAACAAACTAGTTATTTGATCATGAAAAGGAAATTTACAGCAGTAATGTAAAAGATCAGTGTGAAAAAAATGTATACCCAACACAATGGAAAGGCAGGTCTGAATAGTTTAAAGACAGTCCTAAATTGCACATATTCAGCTCTGCTGGAAGGCGGTGCTGTACATTTTTTTTTTTTTAATTCACCAAAATAATTACATGCATGAGCCCACATGGAATATTTGAGTTAAAGGGAAATTATCTTTCCTTACAATCGCAGATTTTAAACCACCTCAACATTTTAGTGTGAAAAAGCCCCCCAAAACTTGTTCTTTCATCTTTATTTGGACTGATGATTGAGACGAAAACTTTTAAAGTGAAACCCGTTCGTTTTGATGATTTGCTTTGCTTAAAGTAACCGTGAGCCAGGATGCTTATCTAGTATTTAGTAAATGCACCGGAACAAAGAACGGCTGCTCCTTCAACTTAAATTTACTTACGCCAACTTAACCCAGTCAAAACCAGTCCCGGGGTCGTGGGCTTTTACTTTGAAATTAATGGTGGGAAGTTGTACTTGGAAGTCCCGGAAGTCCTTCTGGGCTCGAGCCATTGAATGCAGTGCCATCGTTTTTGCTACAAAAAAAACAAAAAAACAACACACAAAAAAACAGTAGCTGTTGCTAACATCTCAAAGGGAACCGTGCAAGTGTACACTCATGGACCCGAACCGTATAATACAGGCTCTGAAAGGGACTATCGACCCAAACCTACGGATAGCTGCGGAAAATGAGCTCAATCAGGTGAGCAGCTGAAGTTGTTTGTTTGCGGCGAATGCGCATCCTCGAAACCGTTCGGGCCCCGTAAATGGTGCCGGTGCTGGTGGGCGAACCGCAAGGCCGTGTTTGGGTCACAGCCCACAAACCCACGCCGGAGGAGTTTCCGTCCAACAGTTTGTATTTAAGGCCCGAGAGCTGTGGCTTTGATAAACTGTCGCCCCCCTTCCATATTGAGCTGGTGGCTGTTTCCCCAGAAGCGTTACGAGGCAAGGCTGTCGCCTGACCTGTGAGCGGTACCACAACTTTGTGATGTCCACGCTCACGGTGTGCAAGTTCGGGCTCAAACCCACCAGAAATCCTCCATAAGACCACAACATATCCATGTAGCCTGTGTTACACAATGTTGCACAACGTTGCAAATTGTTTATTGATTCAAATGCACTAGTTTTATATATCAAAAGTGTTGCGTTTGAGGTACATGAGTCACGTTGGACAAATCCTCATTGTTCCCAGACACCTAATGTGTTATTAACAGGTTTCAGTAACATTCACCAGTATCACCTCCAAAAAAAATTGTTGTGTGGTGGATCTGTTTTGAATAACCTTTAACTATTAAAAAGAAAATGGAACTGTCCAGAAAATCTAAATGTATGCTCTTAAATTCCTATAGATGAATAGAACCTTAAATACAGCAAAAAGGGAAAAAGGCAGCAGGGAGAAAAGCTTAGAACAGCTTTCTAGCTTCCATATTGGACTGAAAAGAAAGAGATGGCAGCCAGTTTTGAAAGAGACGTTTTTCAATTCAATTTTATTTATATAGCGCCACATCACAACCACAGTTGTCTCACAGCGCTTTCCAAACAGAGCAGGTCAGACCCTACTCTGAAGTTAATTACAGAAACCCAACAATGTTTAGTAAAAGCAGAATTTTTCGAGTTGTAATAAGAGCACACCGTTCTTGATCCACTGTTACATGCACTTGAGGTTAAGAGTGCTTCCATTTATGTAGAGAAAAGATGCCTTGCCAGCAAAGATTAGAAGGGTTTGGGTACAGATTTGATGGAGTGACCACAAATCTGGCTATGATGATAGAAGGCATGATGGGTTTTCTGAAAAAAATATTGAAAAAGTCTTACAAAATTGACTCCAAAAACTTGCCAACTTTGGTCATGACCAAAACAAACATCATGAAGCCTCCAAAATGTAACAAAAGTTGCAGATTGGTTCATCGTCACTGCAGATGGCATCTCATCTGACTTTTGGTCAATAAGTACAACTTTAAAATGAATTATTATGGTTTACACACAGAAAAAGCCGTGCATCACATTTTTAAATATCTGTTTCCCAATATCAGAATAAAGCCTCCGGAAACTTTGAATTTCAGTACGCTGAAATGCTTTCATTTTTTTTCTGATACACATATTGAAACTGTCCATCTTTCTCTGTGTTTCAGTCCTACAAAATCATCAACTTCGCCCCCACACTGCTTCAGATTATTGTCTCCGAACAGGTGGAGTTTCCCGTTCGGCAGGCAGGTAAGAAGTTACCCCGCGTTTGTCATTTTGATTGCTTTTCATCCTTTCAATTTATTTTGTGCTGAGAGGTATTGGCAAAGAAATGTGTGTTGAGGTATCACAGACGCAGCAAAAGAAGCGTGTGTATTTTCAGTGAACACAAAGCTTCATTCTCTGAGCACTGCGACCAAATAAATGAATAATTCCTTAATTTCTAGTCTTCAATTTCTTTTTTTGGTCACAGGGGGTTAGCATATATAATCTTTGGGGTTATTTTGTAATGTCAAGCAAACAGATTAAGCTAATTTATCAAAATTATATTAACCCCGACCCCATTTGAAGGATGCATTTGGTGCAGTTTAAAAGAAAAGGCGGATTTGTTCATGTCCAGCTTGTACTGCATCTTTCAGGGGTGGAGGGCAGATCTAGTTGGTAGTGATTGTTTTGTTGTGAGAGGAGGTGCTCTCTCTTGGAAACAAAACAAAGTTTTAAATAGCTTTCTAAAGGTAGAAAGGTGGTGGTGAAGGGGGGTGGTGCTGCACTTGAAAACAAAGGAGCAATGAGGGAGCTGACCGTTGATCCGGGTCCAGCATTAGGGGGTCGTAATTGACCCGTCGACCCCAGTGAACAGAGGTGTAATGTATCCTTTTAGGGAGGCTGAAGACATGATGTGCTGCCAAGTTTAGCTTGGAATGTTTCCTAATTTAAAAAAAAAACTACACTTGGCTAAAACACCCACACACACGGACTTTAACTCTCTTTGATGAACAAGAAGGACACAAAGGACCAGTGTGCTGATATTCTATATGTTCAGATTCTAGCCAACGCAGACTGCATCAATCAAGCAATTTATGTCAATGTGTGTGTGTGTGTGCTTCTTTGCTTAGCGGCTATCTACTTGAAGAACATGGTGAGTCAGTACTGGCAGGACAGGGAACCATCTGTGGGGGAGATCGTCTTTCCCTTCAACATTCACGAGAATGACCGGCAGCAGATCAGAGAGCACATAGTGGAGGGTATCATCCGCTGTCCAGAATCAATACGGTACACCTACAGTCTTTCTTTTTTTTGTCTCTTTCTCGAGAAACATCAAGATGACAGTTGCCATGTACCAGATGTGTTAAAACCTTCCAGTCGGAGGCCCTGCATAATATTTGATACAGTTTTTCTTTCCCCAAAGCGCCCAGCTGACCATGTGTCTCAGAGCCATCATTAAGCACGACTTCCCAGGCCGCTGGACCGCCGTTGTGGACAAGATTGGCATGTACCTGCAGTCCCAGAACAGTGGCAGCTGGTATGGCAGCCTCCTGGCTCTCTACCAGCTGGTCAAAACATACGAGTGAGTAAAACTCAGTTTATCTCCTCCCCTTTGAACACCCACCCAGGAGAACTCATCCTCACACCAGGGCCATAAGTCGTCTACGAACTTTAAGCTAGCCTAAACTTCAATGGAGTCCCTCTTGTGTCTTCAGATACAGGAAGGCAGATGAGAGGGAGCCACTGCTGGCGGCCATGCAGATTTTCTTGCCACGGATTCAGCAGCTCATCAGCCAGCTGCTGAGCGACGCCACCATCTTCTCTGTCCTCATTCAAAAGCAGATCCTCAAGATCTTCCACACGCTCGTCCAGGTATGTGCGTCGGCACAAAACAGGGGAAAGAGGGAGTAGGACTCAAACTTTGGTAGCAGGAACCCGGGTAATTTAGTTCAGGGGCAAACATGTCCGCGGGAATCTGCCAGCGCTGAATGCAAGAACATGGATTTATTTATTTTTGTGGAAGTTATAGATGATCCTGTCTCCAAAAAAGCTAACGGACAGTAGGTCTAAGTAAAAATGTTTATATTCATGCGAAAAATCACCTGTTATAAAAGAACTGAAGGTTTGATTTCAGACCAAATATGCTCCAGTCAACTCCCACACCAGGAAAGAAAATTTAAAAATAATCACCAAAAAAGCAGGTAAACAGATTAGAAAAACAGAACATACTGTTTACCTTTGACAGAATAGCACATCTTCCTTGGAAAACTGAAGTTTTCTGCTGATACGTGCCACTGCCATCTTGTCTTCTTTGTCCTTTTGCAGTAGAACATCCCCAATGCCCCAACTTATCTGTCTGGACAGGTTGAAGTTCGTGTTTTGAAGATCTGAATCATAGCAGTTGTCTTCAGGATCTCTTGTCGTTCTCAAACTAAACAAATCTCCCTCGGAAACTTACGCAGAAAGTCAATCAAAGGCGAATAATCTCCTGTTTAAAAAAAGACACAGATCATCTTTAGGTGTATATTTTCAGTCGTCCTGGTCATGGTAGTCTTCGGGATTTTGCAGAAAGGCAAGTGGGTATCTTCTTGGACCTTGAAGCTGTTTCACCTCTCATCTGAAAGACGTATTTTCTTCAGAAGGGCAGAAGTGCTCAGTTCTTCCCTATAGTCTCTCAACCACGATGCAGCCCAAGTAGTGGTCAGCTCCTCAGCAGGTCAGGCCTCATCATTGGCTACTGTGAGGATTGACAATCTCAGAATGTGCCATGGCCCTTCTCAACTCACTGCGCAAAGACCCGCGGCTTTCTTGAAACATTCTTGGATCTCCAAGCTTTCAGAGGATTGACGTGTAAGCCGTGTTTGGGATTTCTTGTCACTGGCATCTCTTAGTTTTCCCATCACCACCTCTGGATCTTTGGAAGTTTTTCAGCAGCTGCTCAGTGGTTGAGAGAAGGATAAAGTCTCAGGATAGCCTCTGCAAGACAAAAGGACCCAATATTATTTTGTAGTAGAGCCCAGTTGACCAGCCTATGGTATGATGGGCCTAAATATGTAAAAATGAGGAATGCAATACCCTAAATACTTGCTGGTTATCTTTGTCCCATAAATTAGTAAAGTGAGCGTCTTAGGGTATAGCTCCTTGTCAAGACAACGGCAGATATCTAAAGACTTCTTCGCAGGGTTTCTTGATCTATAACAAGTGTAGAGTAACGATCTTTCTAAGTTTCACCTTGGAGCATGTTGAGTTGGCACCATGTATGAATAAGGATGAGGACAAAGGGTTAGATTGTCATGTTGCCGTGGTAATGACGACCCTGTTGGTGTCCTGCAGTACTCGCTGCCTCTCCAGCTGATCAACAACACCGTGATGACCCAGTGGATGGAAATCCTTCGAGCTGTAATGGACCGAGACGTCCCTGCCGTAAGACACACACTTCTGAGCTCTTTTTGATAGATAATCTCTGCTCATTTTCACCTTGTAATCAGTCCATCTAGTCCAATCCACAATATAAACATTGTCAAATGTTCAAATTTCTTTTCAAGTCATGTGAAATTCCGTCGGTGTTTATAAAATGGGAGATCTTCCCATTCCCCGGATTTATTCTAAGTATTCGGTTCTCCAAATGTTCCTCGCAAAGCTCTAAGAATTGGCATGACCTGTGCTTGTCAGGAGACCCTGGAGGTTGATGAAGACGATCGTCCTGAACTGGCGTGGTGGAAGTGTAAGAAATGGGCTTTACGAATCATCACCAGACTTTTTGAGAGGTAGGTCCCCGGTTCGAGGGGTTAGCTGAGCACCATTGGCAGACATTCTCACGCTTACGGTCCGAATCCCAGGTATGGAAGCCCTGGCAACGTGACCAAGGAGTACTACGAGTTTGCAGACTTCTTCCTGAGGACGTACGCGGTAGGCATGCAGCAGGTAAGCTAATATCAGAATAGCTGATTCCTCGGTCATTTCTTTTGGTTTTTTCTATAGTCCCAATGTTACTCGCCCTTTCAGGTCCTGCTGAAGGTGGTGGACCAGCACCGGCAGAAGGTGTACGTCACTCCCCGGGTCCTGCAACAGTGCCTCAACTACCTCAACCAGGGCCTGTCGCACTCACTGACCTGGAAGCAGATGAAGCCGCACATGCAGGTAAAAACGAATGCCGTTCGAAACCTGGAGACACGGTAGGCGATTAGGAGGAAGCAGCATTTATGGGTGTTCCATTATTACCCACTCGTCCATATCCAGCTCTGCTCGCCTCACCACAGCTTGGTGTTTCCGTTGGATGTGAGGTCTTAATAGTAAGATGGGCCAACCGTCATGAGTCGTGTGGACTTTTTTCACACCTTACAACCAATCAAATATGCCAACAGTTTCAAAGACCACAAGCTTTCAATTTCAATTCTCTAACACCTCTTTCCAACTAAGCAAGGTTATTAATGTTGTTAAGCCTAACATGCCGGGTTTTTTTTTAGATTTCGGTTCTTTAGTCTGGGCTTTCTGTAGGTTACTTCATCCAAGGTTCATTGGCCCCTCTACATAGGGTAAAAAAAAGAAAAGTCAAAGTCACTTGTTGGAACTGGAATATGCTCTTGCATTTTCCGGCAAACCAAACTGATCCAATTTGTTATTTTTTTCCCTCTACCAACATCCATTTCTGTTACTTTGTAAAGTCAAGAACATTTCCCTTCTGAGCCTGTATGAGTTCTTTTGAGTTTATGAAGACTTTTGTGTCTTACAGACCATATGCCAAGAGGTCATCTTTCCTCTGATGTGCTACAAAGAAGAAGATGAGAGGCTTTGGCTGGAAGATCCATATGAATATATCCGCATGAAATTCAGTGAGTGTTAAAAAAATCTTGGTGTGTTATGCCTGTTAAAAAAAAAAGAGACCTTTATTGATATATACAAAGCAGAATTCTCACTACACATGAAGTCATTTGTAGTTAGCTTTAATGTTTTACTTCTAAGATGACCAGAGCCAATTAAATCAGGGAAATCTACCAGAATCTTAGTGGGCTTTTGTTCTGAACACTCAGTTTGAAGTTGGTCTAAGAAGCACCGATAACTGTGCTCACATTTCTGGCCATTAAGTTTAAACCTGCTGTTTCTATGAGTATGAGTGTGTACGTCTCTGCCTCAGATCTCTACGATGACCACGCCCTCCCAGCCACCGCCGCTCAGGGCCTTCTGTGTAAAGCTGCCCGCAAGAGAAAAGAGGTCAGAAACATCTTGGTGCTCTAAACAGAGCAGCTCCAGCAGCTATTTTAGCTCTCATTGACTAATAATGGATATACTTGTACAACCAATTCTGGAAAATCTGGCTTAGACGCCTCTGTTTATACGTGAACGCTCCACTGTAGCCAACAACCAAAGCACTGACGCACTAACTTTGCAAATGGGGATCCACTGATTTTGGAAGTTCTTGGCTTAAAAAAAGGCGACTGGTAACGAGTCAAAATGTGTACATGAGTAGCAGTCATAGGAAGTTTTATCTCACTGATGAAGTTACTTACTTCATTTGTCATGTATATTTAGTATTTTTTAGTATTTTTGTATTTCTTAGTCTAAAAAGGATAATCTCAAAGGGTTTTATTGTGCTTAAGCTATTGGAGATTTGTTGTTTTTTTCTTAGCAGTGCATGTTAAGGGTTTATATTTACATGAGGATTGTCTTTTTAAAAAAAAATGTAACTTAGTCCTTTTTTAAAACATTTCTTGACAGGTTCTTCCTCAAATGATGGAGTTCTGTCACCAGATTCTAATGAACCCTTCTGCTGACCCCCGTAAGAAGGACGGAGCACTGCACTGTATCGGCGCCCTGGCCGAGCTCTTACTGAAGGTACGCACAGACGGCCCGAGAGTGTGAGTTTGGGAAAAAAGACATGGTTTAAATAGCTCTATTTGGATTTTTGACAGCTACGTGTAACTTTTCCCTCTCCTCGTAAGATGATATAGGAAAAAGAAATGTAGAACCATCAAAAATATCTACTAAACAAGTACATGTAAATGTGTCTCCGACAGAAACAGATGTACAGGGAGCAAATGGAGCTAATGCTGCAAAACTACGTCTTCCCTTTGCTAAACTCTCCAATGGGATACCTGCGTGCCCGGGTGAGTTACCTTCCCACTACTCCTTCACAGGGTTAAGCTCTTTATCAGCTCACTTGAGAGTAAGCGGAGCTATGCTGTGGACAACCATTGGCTGGTTAAATTTGTAATGCATAACATGAAATACAGCAAATGTCCATGCTCACCCGCTGTGTTCTGGCAGTCGTGCTGGGTGCTGCACTGCTTCAGCCCGCTGCGGTTCCACGACGAGGTGGTGCTGAGGAACGCCGTGGAACTGGTCAAGCAGGATCTGATCGACGACAAAGAGATGCCCGTGAAAGTGGAGGCCGCCATTGCTCTGCAGACGCTGGTCAGCAACCAGGAGCAAGGTGCGTGTGTGTGGGGGGGACTGATTTATTGTTAAGTACGACTTCCAAGAGACTTTGGACCAGGTATAAAGGACGTCATTCTGTCTCTGGTTGACGGCAGAACATCTTTAGGTAGAGGTTGTTGTTTACCTGGAAGGATGGATTTTATGGGAAAATTTAAGTAAACCAAACAGACTTCAATGGAAGCTTTAAGAAGAACAAGTGTAGTGGAGCTTAACTTCTAGAATTAAAGCAGTGGAAATGGATAATAACAGCGTGAATGCCTCAACTCAAAAACTTTATATAACATTTCTGAATGTTTCTTTTTTTTTCAATTCTATTTTTATTGTTATTTTCATCATTATCTGTTCATTACAACAGCCTTATCTAGCTATACATCCGTAATTCCACTGGATATACAGATGGGGATTAATGGTTCTAACATTTCTGAAGTTTTCAAGCAAAAAAATCCCTTTGTTAGCATTTACTTTACATAAGTCGCTTGACCCTTTAGGTCATGATGTAAGTAATAATCTTTCACTCCAGTTCATTTCACCTGCTCGATGTTAAAAAGATGTTCAAATCTGTGCTTTTTCTGAGAAAAAGCTTTTTGGGTAGAGACCGTGACTCCATGTATAAAGCCAGTTTCAAGAAAAGTCAGGCAAACAGCAAAACCTACACTTGGTAATTTAGCTAAGTTTGACTGTATTTTTTGTATAAAAAAACAAAAAATGACAAAAATGAACTGCTCTTTGCCCACATAATTATTTAAAAATTGTATTTCTTCATTTTTGTGGCAGTTACAACTCCAAAATACAGTTATATAGAATTTGTCCAGTCAGCATGATCAGTTACTTTGAACCGAATTAAACTCGCGAGCAGCTGCTCCTACGGAAGAATAATGTTTCCTATTCTTTTTTTGTGTGTGTGTGTTGGCGTGCGTAGCCAAGCTGTACATCAAGCCGTACATCCGGCCGGTGATGCAGGAGCTGCTGCACGTGGTCAAAGAGACGGAGAACGACGACCTGACCAACGTCATTCAGAAGATGATTTGCGAGTACAACCAGGAGATGGCCGCCATCGCGGTGGACATGACGCACAACCTGGTAAGACGGCGGCTTTTGTCATACGGTGCCAGGGGGCGTACAAATGGTGTGAGTGTGTTTGTGTGTGTGTATTTGTTAAACCTAGCCCTGATCTCCAAACCACTTATTCAAGGGAAAGTCTGCATATAAGTCTGTTTATGCTGATAGGAATGACGGTGGGGTTTTGGATTTAAATGATTTTGATTGGATAGATTTTTTCAATGTAATTTCATTTTATTTTCTAGGCAGAGATCTTCACAAGGGTCCTTCAGAGCGAGGAGTACGAGGAGAACGAGGACAAGACCGTCATGGCTCTAGGCATCCTCAGCACTATAGACACCATCCTTACCGTCATGGAGGATCACAAGGAGGTCTTTAGAAAAAAAAAACAATATATATGCAAATGGAGAAATGGTTTTATTTTACTGCGTCTGAACCTAAAGGCTGAATCTAATGTCTCAGATCACCCAGCAGCTGGAGGGGATCTGTTTGCAAGTGATCGGACTGGTCCTGCAGAAGCCCATCATAGGTATGGCAGGTGTGTGTTGGCGGGCAAATGGACCGTGTTTTCAAGCTCATTAATTAACCATTCAGATTCCTGCTGACTGGGCAGGAATTGTTTCAGCTTTCACTTCCTCTAAAATCACAAAAGGTTAAGGCATGGGATTTACATGCAGCATTCCGTTAAAGATTTCCACAGCCAATTTAACTGGCAGAGCGCCTTTAGCTTTAAGTAAGGACACTGATTTCCATCCAGAGGTGCTTTCTAAGTCTAACCTTTTGTGTTTGACGCACACCAAAAATTTGACCCTTAGTGTAATCCTTCATTTGATTTATTTAGTTGTTTTGTTTATTTTTCAGAATATAAGTGTGGACGTGACATAATATGGGCTGTTTATGTAATTTTTTCCTCCTTTTTCTTTTTTTCTTTTTTGGGTTTGTTGCATCGTATGTGGCTCTCCCAGTTCTAAACCTGTGCGTGCGTTTGCTTGTGTGCATTTTCTGTCCCTTCCAGAGTTCTACGAGGAGATTCTGTCTCTGGCGTTCGGCCTCACCTGTCAGACCATCTCCCCCCAGATGTGGCAGCTCCTAGGTGTCCTCTACGAGGTCTTCCAGCACGACTGCTTTGACTACTTTACAGGTAGCTGCCGCTACATCCATTCTTTGAGTGCATGTGGGCTTTGTGAAGCATATTTTTAAGGTTATTAAGCATAGATTATACATGTCCCCAGGAGGTTCTGTGTGTCAGGATTTTTTTTTGTTAATCAGTCCAAAGTTCAATGTGGGCGCACAATGACTGTCAGGTACTTCAGTAATTAGAGACCAAGGTTAAGAAACGTCCATCCATCCATCCATTATTGTTACCCCTTATTCCCTAATGGGGTCACGGGGGGACTGGAGCCTATCCAAATAGTCAATGGGCAAGAGGTGGGGTACACCCTGGACGGTCCTCCAGTCCATCGCAGGGTTACACAGAGACACACAAGGACCAACAACTCACACTCACTCTAGGTGAAATTTGGAATGTCCAATCAACCTAACATGCAGGTTTTTGGATGGTGGGAGGAAGCCGGAGAACCCAGAGAGAACCAACGCAGGCACAGGGAGAACATGCAAACTCCACAAAGGAAGTTTACCTTATTTAGTTCTGAGGGATATTGGCTCAGAAGATTTAGATTTTAAATATTTTCGAAATTGTTTGGTCTTAAGGAGGAGTCTTCAATGTCTTTCCCAAATAAAAATGTTTGGGATGCTTTTTTATTTATTTATTTATTTTTCAGATAGAACTAATTTTTTTAAGGCTCACAAACAGTGCTTGA